AGCAGTCACATCACCACTACGTCCCTAGCCTCCAATACTCCGCCTCAAGCAGGTTTCAACAGTTTTGTATCAACTATGACTGCTACCTCTACTAGGATTTGGCCCTCCACCAGGGCTTCGCCCTCCACCAGGACCTCGTTTACTTTAGAATTGTCGACATCCTTCGACTCCAGCAGAGCCTCCAATACTTCACCTCAGGCAGGTTCCAGCAGTTTTGTATCAACTATGACTGCTATCTCTACTAGGATTTCGCCCTCCACCAGGGCTTCGCCCTCCACCAGAACCTCGTTTACTTCAGAAATGTCGACATCCTTCGGCTCCAGCAGAGCCTCCAATAATTCGCCTCAGGCAGGTTCCAGCAGTTCGGTATCAACTATGACTGCTATCTTTACTAGGACTTCAATCCACACCAGGACTTTGCCCTCCGCCAGGACCTCGTTTACTTCGGAATTGTCGACATTCTTCAACTCCAGCAGTCGCATCACCACTACGTTCGTCGCCTCTAATACTTCACCTCGGGCAGGTTCTCCAACTATTGCCAGGCCATCAGGGTGGAATGGAACGATTACATCAACGGTCTGTCCCGGTAATACTGGCGCGAGTGGTGGCATGTGTGCTACCGCGGTTACGAAGATCATCTACAACGACGGAAATCCGTACACATTCACTTTCCCTTCAGTGACACGAGGATCTGAACTCGATGTCTCGTACTGGACAGGAGTATATCCTACTCCTCCTCCTTCAAGCAGTGTCCTACTCAGCGACTCGGATATGATGACTACATTCACGGCTACCAGCTCTTCGATGCGCTATACGGAACACGCTTCTGACTCTCGGGCTCTGTCTGCTACGTCGATGTCATGGGTATTATTTTCTTCCTCTGAAGTACTGAGAATGCCTCCTGCTGCTTCTTCTGCAGGGTCAAGTGAGTCAAGTTTTATTGGGAGCAGTTTGAAGACTGTAATTTTGGCTAATTCAACAGGCCGTTCTTTGGATCTTGTGACGGTTGACCCGATTTCTACGACTTCAGTGGGATTTAGTAGTGGATTTGCGACACCTACGCTTCGGGAATTGACTACGGAGGCATCTTTGACGGCAACGAGCACGGCTATACTTCCCATGGCTACCAGATGCGGCGAGTATGGAAATTTTACAATGACTGTAAGAGAAAAGCTCTTGCGATATCTCTCATTCACTAATGTGCTATAGTGGGACGATGTACCTGGATTCATTCCAATCGAAAACAACACCTTCCTCGCGCCACCCGTGGTCAACGCCTACCATCATCTGTTCTCAGCTAGTGGATACGCCTACGTTCCTCCTGGATATGAGCCCTATCCGCCGGCATCAGCGCCGAACGTAGCCATGTTCTTCCCTATCACTGGACTCATGCCAAACCTGCCATTCGTAGATAGTGTCCGGCCAGGAGAGATTGGAGCTGGACCTCGGGCGTCAGTCAACTCTTATTGGTTTCACGCTTACAATGCGTTCTTCGGATGCGACAATCCAGGACCGCTCGACTGTACCATGCGAATTTCCGGCTACCAGTACGACGCCGCCGTAGAGCAAGAAGTGCTTGTCACGCAGCAAAACACCACGATTCCAGCGTGCTTTGGCTTCAAAGACTGCGTCCTGACGCAGGTGGACTTCTCAGACCAGTTCCGCAACCTGTCGGGGATTCAGTTCGAAGCTTTCCTCATTAACGATATCTTGCCGAGCGTGTTCATGGTGGATAGTTTAGCGATGGGATGGTACAATAACAGCTGCTCTTCAGGCATACTCCGGATGGGATCCCGCAAGTAGAGGCGAGATCGTGTGTGTGGCGATTTTGCTAATGACCGTGTTAGACTGGGGCCCGCCGTAAGGCTCCTCAACACGGTCGCTGAGGTTGTCATTCTTGCGAAATAGGCCTAGGTAGTAGCTTTCGGGGTGCATATCGGCTTTGTAAGCATAGGAAACTCGATAAAAATACAACTTGTGCATGATTCAACAATCTTCGTTGCTAGTGACAAGAGATAAACACTCCTCATTCTAGGTTTGTGTACACTTGCTTAGCACCGCTTGAGGTCCTCTAGTGCGTTATGTATGATTGAGAAACAGCAGTTTTGGCAAGTCTAATAGCTCTCCGAGCCACCTCAGACGGTGGTGGACTACGACTTCATGTTAGAAGAAGACTGCAACCTGGCACGCGGGGCATAGAAAAGGTGGCGCACTAATTCTGGAACAACCTTGGAAGCTGTCTCATGTGTACACCTGTCTGCCACTGCTTGGGTTGCTTTAATGTATTTTTAGGAATCTAAAGAAGATAGCAGCTCCTCGCCTTGGGCTATGTGGAAACCTTTTGAAGCACTTCTGACGGTGGCAGACAGGTGTACACCCGAGACGGAGTGATTGATGAGTGTGCCGCTTTTTTCATGCCCAGCGCGCGTGCCTGGCTGGCAGTGAATGGTGGTCGAGCTTGGATCGTTTCGTGCGCCGTGCGTTTTGTTTTGTTGACATCGATCCCGCTTGCGCCTCCGACCATCCCTAAATGCACCCCATCACCCCCACCGGACCCACGAAGGACAACCCCAGGTAAGAATCGGAGCCAGTGTCGGTATTTTTCGTTTCCCTCATTCTCTTCTTCAATTCTTTTGCCATGCCTTCCGACGACTTGATCGACTTCGAGATCATCGAAAACCAGAAGGAAAACATCCAGTCTCTCCCGAGCGGCCGCTCAGCCAAAGCTCTCGCACAACTATACTCTCCTCCGCTCTCCTTAGGGTCCTTGAAGACACCTCCTCCATCCCATACTCAGGACCTCAACAACGCGATACGGCAGGAGTATGAGAAGGAGCTTCTGACGATCGACGACTCCGACGACCCTCTGGACATTTACGACCGCTATGTGAAGTGGACCCTCGACGCATACCCATCGGCACAAAACACGCCGCAGTCGCAGCTATCGACCCTCCTAGAACGAGCGACCAAGGCCTTCCAGGGCTCCACGCACTACAAGAACGACCCTCGCTATCTGAAGCTGTGGCTGCATTACATCCGATTGTTCTCGGACGCGCCACGCGAGACTTTTGCATACCTTGCAAGACACAACATTGGCGATGGTCTAGCGCTATTCTATGAGGAGTTCGCCTCATGGCTGGAGAATGCGGGGCGTTGGACGCAGGCGGAAGAAGTCTACAAGCTGGGACTGGAGCGAGAGGCACGACCCACAGAGAGATTGATGCGCAAGTTTGGGGAGTTTGAAAACAGGTTCGCGGCCCGGCCGCAAGACGTTGCGGAGCCCAGCAGCCCAGCGCTACCGACAGTGCGTCCAGCGTTGGCAGCAAAGATCGACCCTTTTGCCCACACATCGTCTCCGATAGACCCACAAGCTCAGAGTCGTGCCGGGAGCAGCACAGGTGCGTCGAGGACTGGCCGACAGAAGTTGGCGATCTTTTCGGATGGAGACGAAGCAGCGAAACCAGGATCAAGTGGGAGCACGAAGGGATGGGACAGTATCGGATCTCTGGCAGACCGGAAGAAGGAGAACACAGTCGGAGCGAAGCCCTGGGCAGGGGAGACACTGAAGGCCGGCAAGAAGAACGCGGGAGTTCCCAAGATGATGATATTCAAGGACGAGGTGAGTTCTATTGAGCTATGAGCCCCCCTCATTCTCCTTATTTACGATCACAGGACTAATTGGTTGGCGTTTGCTTGCTTTATGTATTCAGTCTATATCAGATTCCTCAAAACAACCCAAATCGCACCCACTGCGTGATCAACAACAGAGCGTCAACCCGAAAACAGGACGAACAGAATGCGTCTTCGTCAACCTGGAGCTCGTATATCCAAATGCTGACGATCCTTCGGCCGCTGAGTTCTCATTCGAAGAGCTGAGAGCTAAACATAGGGGTTGGCTGGATTATGATTGGGGCGCCATCCGCAAGAAGGAAGCGGAGCAAATGTCTCAGCATACTAACTCTAAGGCTCGGAAAGATACGTTGACGAAAAAGCCAACAATTGGAGTAGAAGTCATTACAGCAGGTATCGAAGAGAACCTCGTTTTAAACGACGAGAATACCCCCCCCTCTCAAGTTCATGTCGAGAAGGTTTCAGTGGCCAAGAAGATGCGCAGAGAGGAGAAAGCCAATCGGACTAGAAAGATCAAGGTCATGGAAGTTCGAGCAGAGCCTCAAACAGGTAATTATTTGAGACGCTCATGCAATCGACAAGGAGCTAATACTTTCAAGTTCAAACTAATTTGGCATCGCCGACTGGACCCAAGCTGCGAAAGAAGAGGAATGCCGAACCTACAATGACGTTCCACACTAAAGAAGCGATGGATGAGATCTATGGAATATTCAACCAACCCCTCAAGACAGACGGTGACTCAGCAGCCGAGTCAGAAAGCGGCGAGGATAGCGACGATGACGACGACTATACGAGTGCTGGAGAGAGTACTGGTACCGGCCGAATTTCAGGCACTACCAGCGAATTTGGAGATGAAACTACAGGAGTCGACTTCACGACTAAAACCACGATGGATGACGAAGAAGATGAGGCAGATGAGACCGAGATAAAGAGCGTTTCGGAATGGTCGGAGTTCACGGCGAGCAAGCATATCCCCGATGGCGAAAATCCTGACCAGATTGGTAGTGAGAACGAGCACACCGACGACGAGTCGTGGGAAGCTCTTCGCGAGGCACATCTGAATGCACAGGGGATCAATCAGGAACTCGTAACGCCCACCTCTCCAGACATCGGATCAGTGTCTTTGCCAACGCGCTTCGTCCCTATCCCACCAGAGGGCTGCGATGTTCCGACTCGCCCTTTCCGAGATCCTACGCAGGTTGCTCACAATCGATTACCTTTCATGACACCCATCGTGGAGAAGACGGAATCGTCGATAGGAGCAGCAACTGCACGTTCCCAAAAGGATTACTTCTCTGTTAAAACTCCGTCGCGGTCCAAGGGTGCTTCGGCAATCCTTGAGGATGACGGTGAACCCTGGAGTAGCCCTTTCCAGGATGTCTTAGAAGAGGCTCTTAAGAAATCAGCGAAGATCCCTCAACCTGCACTGGGAGAGCGAAAGAAGGAATCGAAACAGCCTCTGGGAACTTCAAAGGCTCGACCTCTAGCAAAAAAGACCGTGGAGGCGAAAGAGTCGGTTCAAAAGGGGCCAATCATTAAGGATGCTCAATGCAATCCCGTGGACGAAGGCATCCGGGAAATCATTCTCAGTCAAATCCAGCCACCACTGTCTTCTTACGAAGGCTATTCTGAAGACAAGGACAAGGCTTTCGGACGAGGTGCTGAGATTCGGAAATTTACCAAGGCTGTCAGTAAGATGAACAAAAACGCAAACGACAAGACGGCAACGAATCTCATGATGCCTCCTGCCCTGCAGTTGAAGGGCTCGGACAGAGCCTACGCCGTCAGGCGAGAACTCGGCAAAGGAGCCTTCGCGCCTGTCTACCTCGTTGAAAGCTCTCCTGTGGACGAGGAAGATGACGAGGAGAAGCCTGTGATGATGGGCAAAGGAGACTTCGGCGTAAAACGACAACCTCTTGAAGCGATCAAGATGGAAGACCCACCATCGGCATGGGAGTTCTATATGCTCCGCCAGGCGAAACGCCGTCTTGGCGTTTCGCGCCCTGCAGACTCTGTCGTCTACGCATACGAGATGCACATGTTCCAAGATGAAGGCTTTCTGGTCGAAGAATTCCGCGACCAAGGCACCCTACTCGACCTTGTCAACATCGCGCGCGCCGAAACAAACGGCAGTGGAGGCATGGAAGAGCAGATGGCCATGTTCTTCAGCATCGAACTCTTCAGGACCGTCGAAGCTCTACATGCTAAAGGTATCATCCATGGCGACCTCAAGGCGGATAATATCCTTGTGCGACTCGAGAGCCTCGCACCGGACGCTTACTGGACCTCGCAATACCAGCACGACGGGCGCGATGGATGGGCGGCTAAAGGCGTGTCGCTCATTGACTTTGGTCGTGGGATTGACATGAAGGTCTTCAAGCCGGATGTCCAGTTCATCGCGGACTGGAAGACTTCAGAAGGGGATTGTGCTGAGATGCGCGAGCTACGGCCGTGGACGTACCAAGTTGATTATCACGGTCTCGCGGGGATCGTGCATAGTCTGCTGTTCGGGAAGTACATCGAGACGGTTGCCGAGCGGGGCGGGACGCTTGGGGCTGGTGCTACGAAGACGTACCGAATCCGTGAGAGCCTGAAGAGGTACTGGCAGACGGAAATCTGGAGTGAGATGTTGGACCTGCTACTCAATCCCCTGATGCATCTGGAGGGCGAGGAGGGAAGGAAGCTGCCTGTGCTGAAGGGGATGAAGGCGGTGCGGGAGAGGATGGAAGCTTGGCTGGAGGCGAATTGCGAGAAAGGGGTCGGCTTGAAGGCTATGGTGAGGCGTATGGAGACGGCGGTGAAGGAGAGGAAGAAGTGAGGTGCTTGGTATAGTGGTTGATGTTGGAGTAGGGGTGTTGCGGGGTTGCATTGGATGGAGTTGGTAGATGTGAGCTCATTGGCGTTGTTTTTTAGCAGATGATATCAGTTTACGTTGTCTATGACAGGCAGGATACCTTTTCTTAATACATTCTCTGGATTTAGCTGGGTTTTGTGTGAAGATATGAACTTAGCCATGGCTCATATGTCCAGACTTTGTACACATACACACCGCCGGCTGAGGCACCTAAACAAGGCTAAAGGCCTTGCTAAATGATAGAAATCCACTTCGTTCAGATTCTTGAAGTTGCTATGCAGAAAGTCGCGAAAGTACACACGTGACAAGTCAAGCTGTGGGAGTCTTGGCGCTATCGCTGATTGGGCCACCTACGGCGCCCTCGCTCATCCACGGATCACCGTCCATCTACGTCTCTTCGACAATTCGCCTCACCTGTAGTTTTTCTAGACCTCAAAATCGTGCAAACATCTGCTCCTTACCTTTACCTGGTGCTCTGCTCGCCTCGTTATGTCATAACTTCCAGAAAACACCTTCGCGCTGCTCCCCCACAACAGGCAGCAGAGCTTCAGCACATCCCACCACCGAGCTCCGCCTTCTCCAGTCAACAGGACACAACACCACACACCTCCTTCCTCAGCAGCTCGAAAATTCTCCGGGCCAGCTCTTTCCCACCATGGCGGATTCTCTCAGCATCTGCTTCAGCTTCGAGCCCACTTCCCCAAACATAAAATCAAACCTAGACCTTGACCGTCATATCCGCAGTCATGTCGCTGCGGTGTCGCATATCCCCAGTAGTGCTTTTCTGAAGAATATCGACACTCCGCAGGACTTTCTAGAGGCAGGCTCTGTTCTTACCTGCGTGCTATAGCTGCTAACATGCCCAGATCCTCAACCCATCCGTCAACAGCATACCCTATGCCTACACCCTACTTCACCGCATCCAGACTCACGACTGGCCGAAGGGGCCCAAGTCTGTCCCCGATACCTTCAGACCTGGCGGCGGATCGTGGGGCAAGCTAGTGGAGTTTTTGGAATCCTTCGATCCTGTCCAGATGCGATACATTGGCGATGTATGGAGGAGGCTGGTGGAGTACTGCGACCGGGTTGCTAGAGCTATGGGCACGGTATGATGAAACTCAAAAAGGAATGGTCCATAGGAGACTGATTATTCTGCAGCCCGGAATAGCCATCTCCCCCGTTCGATCCGCTATGCTGCAGCTAGATCCATCCACCGGAACGTTCACCTCGAATCATCTGCTGTTCATGAGGACCTGCCTGGAAGCTGGGTCATATACTGCCGCTCTCCCGATCCTCGACAACTACATCTACAACCTACCCCAGAATATAGCAAAAGCCCTAATCGAGATTGAGGGCTCGGTGCCATGCGCCGAGACGTCCACCAGCAGCGACTTCATCACCACGCGATCAGGACATTCGGAGAAGATCACGCTTGCGGACTTGCACGAATACTACATGCTAGGCGCTATTGCATACATTGGAGCACGCAAGTTCAAGCAAGCTTTGCTCTTCTTGGAACATATCCTCATCACACCGTCGGCGAATATTGCGAATGGCATAATGTGGGAGGCATATAAGAAATGGGTGATTCTAGGTTGTCTAGTGAACGGAGCGGTAAAGCGGCTCCAGAACGTGTGTTTTGAAGCAATGCTAATATAGAGCTAGCCATCGGCCACTCCAAAAACCGCCAACTCCAGTGCGATGAAACAGCTCCGCGCCGCTTCCAAGGCGTATGATGCTCTTACAGAGGCTTTCCAGATGCACGGCCCGAAGCTGCGAGCTCAAGCGGAGGTTGGCGTGCAGACGTGGGCTGAGGTATCTCACTATCCTCTGATGGTCTTTACTGAGTAAAAACTGACCTGGATAAATTTAGGACGGAAACACAGGCCTTGTTAGCGAACTAGTTGACCACCAGATGAGACTGGCGGTGATCAAGCTAAAGGACACATATTCAGCCATACCGCTCACGCACGTGGCCAAGTTTCTCGGCTTCTCTATGCAAGAGGCGGAGGCGTACATAAGAAACCTAGTGGCGAGAGGTTATCTGAACGCAAGCTTGGACCATACCCCAGGGCCGAATGGATCGCTGGTCCTTCGATTCTACACAGACCCCACCGAGGGACCGCTGGCCAAGAGCGAGAAGGAGCAGTATCTGGAGCTCCTGCAGCAGACAGCGCAGACGAATAAGCTCGCGGAACAGGTCAAGGCGGCCGACTATCGATTGAGCCTGAACAAGGACTACCTGGAGCACGTGCGGCGGCTGAACAAGAAGGCGGCGGCTAGCGCAGCGGCGGGCGATGCCATGGACGTTACCTGGGACGACGCCGAACCGGAAGAGGACATTATGGGCGACCTGATTATGTAAGTGCGCGGCGGAGCCAGCGGTATCCTGGAAGCATTGCGATGGAGTTCTGGGCGAGTCAATTGCGGCGACGAGGGTGTCGGTCGGGGGTTTGGACGATGAGGCACGAGTTGCACGCGGCGTGACGACGGCTGACAGGAAGGGTTGCAGTGAAACGTCTCGATTCTGGCGTTGAAACAGGACGGCCTGATTCGCCGGTGGGCGACACTAACACGACACAGATATGGATGTGATGAGGCTAGGTGGATGGAAGCAGACACGCGCGAGCGGCCAGGCGTGCTGCAGGTGGTGGGTGGTGGAGATGGAAAAGAAGAGGCCGCCCTATCTGGTTGACGTAATGCATACTTACCCACCTACGGCCTTGCACATCTGCCTGGCACTGTCAGAAGCCCTTCAATGCGCCGTGAAGCACCCCGAGGTGATGTATCAGTTGTCACATGGTGAATCAGGCAGTGCGATCGCACCCATGGGGTAGGTGGCGTCTGAAGTGCCCAATACGCCCTGCCAAATCCCGATGCGATGCAAGAACTGTCACGCCGTGAAGGGCGTCCAAGAGCGGCCGTTGAGCAGACCTGTCACGCAACACCCTGGAGGCTCCCACTCTCCCACGAGATCGACAGCGCTCTAACTGCTGTGGTGTTGTCGGGACGGGCGCGGAACGCGTGAGATGTGTGCTACAAAACGCGACGCCGAGTCTCAGCAGCTGAGACAGCACGAGCAGCGCCTGGTAGTTATCGCACCGCGCACTGCAGCGCGCACTGCAGCGCGACGCGGGCGCTGTTCCTGGGCGGCATGGCGAGGCTGGCACTGCAGGTCGGCGTTTTTCTCGCGAGCTTCGTTCCCTCTGCGCTCTTCGCGGCCGGCAATTGCGTCGCTGCGGCCTCAGCGGCGGCCAATCTCATATGCGATAGATCGGCGCGCGCTGCAGCCTGTGCGCTGCTCCCGACCAGCCTCCGCGATTGCGCACACCAACGGCGCCGAGCGTGGCCGTGTGAGATGCGCGGTGAGAGAGGGCCGGGGCAGGTGGCAGCGGGCAGCCTCGTTCTCGTGCTCCCCCGGGCTCGAAACGCCACCCAACTCAGGGTCCGCGGGACTCAGGGGAGCGTGCAGACTGCAGACGTGTAGAGAGAGTGTTTGGCAGAGCGTTTGGCAGAGTGTTTGATGCAGAGGTGCAGCGTCTGCAGGAATAGCTCCAGCGTGCAGCCAGCGACAGCGTCTGGTCGGGCTCCCTCTGCGTGTTCGTGGTGTCTGCGTCGCGGGCCCCTCCCGGCCTTCACCCCTGCATGGCATGGCGGGCCCTCGGGCGTCTGTTCGCTCAGGGACAGGGAGAGCCGACCTTTCTCTCCACCACGTCGAAAGCCACGGATACACTGCAGCCCTCCAAACCACGCACCCACGCTCCCACGCCCGCGAATCGCCTGTGTCCTCCAACAGCGCCGGAGCCGCCATGCCGCCCGCCCAGATTGCATGAACGTCGGGTCCTGTCTGCAGCCGTGCTTGGCGTCCCTGAGACACCAGCGACCTGCCCGCTAGCCAGAAGACGACACCATGTACGCCAGTGCCAATTTCACCGCCCTCGACCCAGCCCACGATCTGCTGCCCGCCCACCAGCAACGCCGCCAGCAGTCGCGCTCCAATTCCCTCTCCTCGTCGTCCGTCGTCACCGTCAAGCGCTCCGCCAGTTTCAGGGACGACCCGCCGCCGCCCTCCGCGAAGCCTACACCGCCTCCCTCGACCCGCCGCCAAAGCGTCGCCCATGTCGCCCAGGACAGCATAGGCTCCATCCGCGAGGGAATTGGCAACCTCAACCGCTGGTCGCAGAGCACTGCCAGCAGCAAGTCGTCGGCCAAGGACAAGGACTCGCGCCAGGCCTCCAGCTTTGCGCGCCGCCTGAGCATCAGCGCCTCGCCCTCGCGCTCCTTTACGTCTCTCCATGGATCCTCGGCGCACAACTCCTCGCCTCCACGAAAGTCTGCCACGAACCCGCGCCGCTCTCCCGCTGCGAGTCCGCATCGCCGCTCCCGCCCGCACTCCCCGGCCTTCGACCCCTCGCGCACGGTGACTGCGCTTCCGCCGATATCAACACTGCCATTGCTACCTTCGACCGTATACGACCCTAGCTCTGCGAGCAGCTCAGCTGCGAATACCCCTTCGACCTCGGGCCTGTTCACGCCCAGCACATATAACGCCGCCGCGTCGACCGACTATTTTACTACAAAGCCCCGGAACCCCCCTCAGAACAGCAATAGACCGCCCTCGAGGAGCAGACCAGCTCCAGCGTCTTTAGGATCTCCGCCTGTGGGTGTTTTAGAGTCCGAGGCAAGATACAAGGCGAGCACCACTGCTAGGCCGACTACTGCCTCCTCAAGAGAAAACGTAAAACCAGGATCAGCCGCGCCGCGGGACAGGCGAGCTGGGTCAAGGGACGCCGACTCTCACCAAAGAACGCGGAGTCGGAGCGACGCCAGCAGCAGGCTTGACGACGGATTCACAAACACCCCTCCGCGCAACCGGGAGCGGAGGGAGAAGGACAAGAAGACCATGCTTTCGAGGGCGCTGCAGAAGGCTAACACTGCAGTACTACTCGACAATGCCCAGAATTTCGAAGGTGCCATGGAGGCGTATGGGGATGCGTGCAAGTTGTTGCAACAGGTTATGATACGGAGTTCAGGGGAGGAAGACCGGCGGAAGCTGGATGCAATAGTAAGGATTTCACCATCGGCCAATCAGAGGTGTGCTAACAGTGGTCCAGCGCGTGACATATACGAACCGTATTGAGGAACTCCGCCGCCTGGACCCCGCATATCAATCCGCTGCTGGAAAATCGCTACCCGCACGGCCTATGAGTAACGAGTCGCTGAGTGGAGAATCTCAGTCTATAATACTAAGCGGTCCAGAAGATGATGACGTCGAGCCGGCCGTGATTGAAACGGCTACCATGACGAGAATAGTAAACGACAAGTCGGTTGCCATTGAGCCGGAACCAAGACCGCAGCTTCAATCTCAGGAACTACCATTGCGGCAAACGCCGGGATTGAGGGAGTCCATGTTCACCTCTGCTATTCGCGAGGTAGAAAGCACAATACCCTCTTCGAAATTTCTATTACAACCTCCTCCAGGGAAGCTAGGTCAAAGTTTCGATCGAAACTCAGCGCTGGAATCTCCAATGGACCGAAGTTATATGCCGCCGCCTCTTTCACCCATGAGGCCCAGGAGGCCATCTTCCCCAAATCCTCCCGCTAAAAAAGAGGTGCTCGATGAATCCAACGTTCAACAAACCCTGCTACAGCCGGAGCGCAACCCCGCACCGAATCACACTAGGGCCGCGAGCAGCGAATCCATGTCCTGGCTTGATACTATTGATGAGTCTGGTGGGTCTTCATGTTCGTCCTCCGTGCATTCGCTATCTCCAGGCGCTGGATTACGCCGGAAACATATCCGTACTGGAAGTGGTGCTACGGAGGCTGAGTTCGACGCCGCGTTGGATGCGGCTGTAGAGGCTGCTTATGATGATGGTCTTGAACCGTATGAGGACGAGGACGACGAGGATGAGCAGCCCTTGCAGATGGATATTGCTACAAGGCTTCGAAACGTCGAATTAGCAAAAGAGCGTGTTAAGGAAGTGGAGAGGGAAGAGGCTATATCAGCAGCAAGATATCGGTATCGGGAAACACAGCTTCGGAGCGAGGGATTACCGCACGTGCGGGAAAGCGCCGAGTTCAACTTCCAGGGAGATGAGGCTGAGGAAGAGGAGCGCATGCTGGACGAAATGACCAAAGAGTACATGCTGGACGGATTTGACTTTGACCTACAAACCAAGTCCTCCCTACCCCGACAATCTGACTCTAGCGGCTTCTCAAATGGTACTTGGAATAGCTCGATGTCATCCAACCGGACGACCGCCGGCACGTCACTTTCCACTGTTGCGGAGGTAAATTATCCAGCTAGATTCTCAGTGAAGCCGCCCAGCCACTTACCCCCTCCCGTACCTCCTCCAACCGGGGCACTACCTGCTATCTCAGACTCGTCATCATCTAAAACACCTCAAACCGCTATCGACGCGTCATTTGCTAGGCCCCCTAGCATGAGTGGAAATGCAGCTTCCAGCGTCCGAAGTCGACGACTATCCGGACAAAACGCGAAGCAGCTAAAGATTGAGACGTCACTACCATCAGTATCTCCACCTCCGCAGACAGAAAAACCCTTCGCGGCTTCCGATAAAGAATCTCGACCAGAAATTCCCCCCATACCCAAATCTGCTGGAGCTGCTTTGAACGGCAGCCAGACCCTGGCAGATACTACCTTTAAGGTCCCCGGTTTACCAGCATCCGTGTCACAAACCTCGGGCCTCTCCGCACCATCTCCAATACCGCCGATCCCCAGTCCCGCGGACTCATTTACCGTATCACCAGCGACCCCTCTATTAACACAAGTAATATCGAATGACAGTACCCTCATTCCCTCTTCTCCCAAGTATGCCAACAAGCCTCCAGCTGCTGGGATCAGGAAAAACAAGTCCTCCTTAAGCCTCAAAGCCCGCACGCTGTCTATGTCCAGCCCCGATGGTTCCGATGTATCTGTTGGCACACCTCTCAGTACCACCTTCTCATTCACCACTCGAAAACAAAGCAACGGAGGTCAGACTTTACCCACACCAAGCGTGCCAACATTCAACGTGACAGATGGGCTACCTACCGGGGGCATGCACCTATTCGAGAGCGATATACACTCACCATACAGCCCAGGTTCTCCCAACACCATGGCTGTCAACGCGCCCATTCCTCTAGAACCATGTCCGGACTCGTATCTCCTGCGTCCATTCTGGCTTATGCGATGCTTCTACCAGACCATCGCTCATCCGCGCGGCGGCTACATCTCCACCAAGCTATTCATCCCCCGTGATGTTTGGCGCGTCAAGGGCGTCAAGCTTAAGAACATCGATGAAAAAATGGCCAATTGTGACCTACTAACCGCCGCCTTGCAGCGCCTAGGTGAAGTCGACACCCTAGACGCTGACGCCGTCTACGAAGAAATGAACACCTTCGAAAGCGTCATGGACCAAGCGCAAACCCAACTCGCCAAGAAACTCGGCACCGAAGTCGGCGTCAACGGCATCTCATCCCTTTTCAAGGACGCGACTATGGTCGGCAACGGCGCTGCGGGTGGAGATGGCCAGACTGGTGCGCAGGGCAGCCACAACTCTAACGAAACTGTCCCGAAAAGCGCGGTAGCGCAGAGCAAATCGTATCTTTCGTCATGGCGTAAACTGCGATCGAAGAGCTCGGCGGTAGGCTTGAGTAGCATGGCTACTGGTAAAGGTGCTGGAGGCGAGGTGCCGAAGGAGACGTTGACGATGCCGACACTACCGATGACGACGCTGCCGAATATCCGCTTTGCGAAAAGGGATGTTGCGAGTGTGGTGTTTGATGGGCCCAATGCGGGGTATATGCAGAGCTTGGCGAAACTGTTTGATGCAGTGCAAATACTGGGTATGTTTGAACTACTGACAAAACGTGTCTATCTGGAATTCCGCTGACTTTTTGAAAGATCAAATCGCCCGCCAAGTCGAAGATCCCGGCCTCCGGCATTCCTCCTCCACCCACGTGGGACTCGAACTCAGCACCCGCCATGCGGCGGAGTTCTTCGGGTTCTATATCTGTCGCTTTGTGCTTACGGACGTTACGATGATGCTGGATAAGTTTATCAAGAGGGGGAGTGAGTGGGTGCTTGTGTGATGAGAAAGAAAGTCTTTGAGGGTTGTAACATGCGCATGTGGTAGGCAGAAGACGTGTCAAGTGTGAGGGGATGAATGGTAATTCTGGAATGGGAACGAACGAGCACGTGTTGCATTGCGTTGTATTGTATCTGAACGGCCGCAGGGATTACACGCCGTAGCGCCGCTGGCTGCTGGGTAAGAAGAGGAACAGGCAATCCTCTTCCCTAGCATATCTCGTCTTCGAGTTTTCAAACGAAGACTGTTTTTTTGCATGGAAACATCCCTCCTGCATTTTGTGCGGAAGTCGAATCTAAGATACCTTTTTTCCACGTCACACACGCTGGAAGCTGCATTTTCTTTCTTTTTCTCTGGACATTGCAAGCAAGGCGCTCGGTAACCATGGGTGTCGGATTTCTTGCATGTGTGTGTGTCTTCTATACTTTGTCCCTCTCTTTGCCTACGTCTTTCCGCTGGATGGTTGATATCCCTGAGCTGAGCATTGCGCGGTTTTCGTTTGTGAGAGCGAGTGCGCTGTACTGTAACCCTGTAGCGGATGAGGCGAGCATCTGCATTTGTGCTTTTGGAGCTACCTGGAGAGCAGATAGAGCGAATCAAGTATGAGTCTTCGAAGTCAAATCTTGAACTGCGCTAGCGTAGTAAGCGAGTACTACTCACGTGATTGGTGACTTCGCTAATTAGTAATCCGGTTCCTTCTCATTTGCTCGCTCTGACGTGGCGCCCCCTTAATCTTCTCTTAATTGTTCCCTTGTACGTCTGGAGAAGTACAGGGGAAATTGTCTATTTGGCTTTTCTTGCATATTAGACGTCTTTGCAAGCTAACTGTAGACAGCGTCGCCAATTACGACTAAATACTCTACAGCCCGCCTCACAGAAAATTCCTTAGACTCGTGTTGGCTATCCACAGACCAAGTAAATAAGAAGTTCTTCTACCAACACGAGTTCTCGTCCTTGATTCTAGCCAACATGGTGGCTAGCAGCTCATGTCGCACGTCGGGCCCTAATGAGCATATGCTAGGATCTTCCGCAGGGGTTTCAGTAAGCGGTTTTGCCAAAAGGCGCCTGTTTTTAGAGTACCTTGGGGCGGAAACCCATACGTACGCCACTTGAAAGGACCCTCCGTGGCCCCCCGTACCTGGATTATCTTTCAATGGATGGGAATCCTGGTGTTAAATCTCCCATGCCCGCTAGGGAGTCGTCGAGGGTTTTGGGCTAAATGGGTACATCGCCCCGAAAGGATTCTCTTTTCCCTTCATTGTATTTTGGATTCCCAATTGTCCTTTGAATAGGACGTCCTTTCTTTACATCCCATAATGTCGGGCTCGCATCGCCATGTGCAATCATGGTTTCACATTCTCTCCTTTTGCATATTGATAGGCTCCACAGCCGCCGTTCCATCCGCCGGGTTCAATGCTTCAACTTCAGTGCTCGCTGCAAGTCTAGCCACCACGACGTCAAGTGCGTCAAATGCGTCAAATTGCTACGAATCATGGCTCGACTACCAGTCCTCCAGCGACAGCTACATGACCTTACACGCGACATCCGTCGTCCACGACGCCGCCTTCTCTAGCGAACGCACCTCCTGGGCTACGATCCAAACAGGCGAAATCTACACCACGCTCTGTGACGGTGAACCGCGGGCCCACGGAACCCCATCATTCTTTACCAACACGACTTGGGAGACGACAGCTCCAAACACGACCACCATCTGGCCGACGTTCACTACCCCGCCGCCGAGTTGTTCCTTGGACCCTTCTTCATGCTCAACGCTATGGGAAGACTACGGACTCTCGCAGAGGAGCTACGCCCAAGACGCCTACCTCCGCTCCGTCACTGTATATAATGGATCCGGCATGGTTTCCCCCACGCCCCCAGCCTGTTCATCCCCCACCAGCATCTGCGGGCCCTGCCAGATCTTCGGCCGCAACGCCCACCTCGCCTACTGGCCCGTGACCACCACCCAACCGCCCTCCTCCAACGCCTCAGACTGCAACGCCCCCGGCGTAACTTTGACATCTAATGTAACCGGCCTCGTCACCGCCGTCCTCTCGGGCGCCACCCTGACCTCCCCGACCGCCTACATCTTCGTCGACACCATCTTCTCCTACGACTACTGCACCACCCGCACCTACCCCGGCACCGTGCTCACCATTCCGCCCGGCGCGCTCTCCAGCGGGCGCGCGCAGCACGGCGTCGTCGAGGCCAGCTTCAACTTCGCCGACCTGGCGCCGGGCCATGTGAGCCGCGACGCGTACACGAACATGGGCGAGTGCTTCAACTTCCCGACGTGGTGCAACGAGACGATTTACGAGGAGTGGTACCATCCGTTTATCCTGATGCCGCCGAGTGTGACGGGGTTACGGAGCGAGTGGGCGGGGTGCACGGCGGCGCATTTTGGGATCTTCGACCCCCCCGTGGCGGTGCACGGGGTGAATGGGTTTGGACCGAGTAGTTCGTCGGTGGTGGAGGTGACGGCGCCGGCGCCTGCGCAGACGCAGGAGCCGAGTCCGAGTCAGGCGGCGAGTGTGCCGGTGGTTACGAAGACGGCAGAGCCAGTGCCAGTGCCAGTTCAGAGTACTGCAGATCCAGGGGCGCCGCAGCAGAGCCAGAGTGTGGGAGATCCGGGGGAACCTCAGAGCCAGACACAGGGACAGCCTGTGCCCCCTCCTTCTCCTACAACGGTGGTGGGTATCGCGACATCGACAGCCATCGTACTGGACCCCACCGATCCGAGTGATCCAAGCAACCCCGTCATTCCCGTCAACCCAACGAGTACCCCTATTCCTAACGATCCCGCAACCCCGGCGCCAGTACCTTCTTCCTCAACCGCCAACATCGGCAAACTCATCTGTCTCGCCTTCGGTGGTGGCAGCTCCTGCCACAACATCGGCTCTACTGCAGCCTCTAATTCAACTCCCGCCCCCGCTGTCGTGGTGACTCTTGGAAATACAGTTGTCACAGCCGCAGACCCGCCTTCTGCCACTGAGGTCGTGTTAGGTTCTCTGACGCTCAAGCCTGGCGACCCCTTAGCTACGATCTCAGGACACGTGGTTAGTGTGGCGAGTTCCGGGGGGATTGTGGTGGATGGGAGTACGGCTGTGGCTTCAGGGGTGGGAGGAGGGAGCGTGACCACGGTCGTTGGGGGGCAGACGGTGGTAATTGCTCCTGATGCGCCTTTGACCACTGTGGTGGCCGGGTCGACGGTTGTACTCTCGGCGCCTGGGCCTTTGACGACTGTCGTTGATGGCTCGACGGTCGTACTTCCAGCAGGCGGGCCTTTGACGACTGTGATCGATGGATCGACGGCGGTGATTCCTGCGCCTGGGCCTTTGACGACTGTGATCGACGGATCGACGGCAGTGATTCCAGCAGGCGGTCCTTTGACAACTGTGATCGGGGGACAAACCGTTGTGCTTTCGGCGCCTGGAGGGCTTACGACGGTGGTTGGTGGCTCGACGGTCGTCCTTCCAGCCAGTGGACCTTTGACCACCGTGATAGGCGGCTCAACAGTCGTCCTCCCACCCTCCGGACCTCTTACAACCGTAATAGACGGCTCGACAGTCGTCCTTCCGCCCTCCGGCCCCCTGACAACCGTAATAGACGGCTCAACCGTCGTCTTTCCAGCTTCCGGGCCCTTGACGACTGTGGTCGGTGGCTCGACAGTCGTCCTCCCACCCTCCGGACCTCTCACAACTGTAATAGACGGCTCAACCGTCGTCCTTCCAGCTTCCGGGCCCTTGACAACTGTGATCGGTGGCTCAACAGTCGTCCTCCCACCCTCCAGCCCCTTCACCACCATAATCGATGGCTCCACCGTCGTGCTCCCCGCTCCGATTCCTGGCCCTCTGACCACCGTACTCGACGGCTCCACCGTCATCCTCCCCGCCACAGCAACAGCCGGCCTCTACACCCTCGGGTCCCAAATCTACACCGCCATCCGCACCTCCGGCACCATCGCCCTGGTCCCGCTCACCCCCACCCATGCCTCAAGCGCAACAAGCGTCCTGATCAATTCAACGATAGCCATCACTGGGAGCGAGAGCAGCGCGGGACAGACGTTACCAGGCGGATTTCTGGGAAGCGGAACGTCTGCGGCGCCGGCCAGTACGAGTTCGGGACTTGCGGCGGGGGGAGTGAGAGCGCCGGGATTGGGGGTTGTGGTGGAGGTGTTTGTTGTTTTGGTGATGGGGGTTGTGCGGTAGGAGGGGGGGGGGGGTGGTAGAGCTATATACTCAGAATTTTTAATGGAAATATTTTTTTTTATTGAGTTCGGGATCTTTGAGAGTGATGCAGATGGGGAGGAGGGGGGGGTGTTGGGTCACGGGCGAGGGGTTAGTAAGCACCTTTTCTCCGGCCCTCCCTGCCGTATAAATTCTTCGTCTTGAGCGCGGAAAAGAGTTTTTGGAGACGGAGGTGGGCGGGGCTGGGGTTTAAAGTGCATCTTTGCCGTCTCCATGTCCGGAGGCGTGTGTCGAAACACCAAAAAGACGACAACAACATGAAGCGTCGGAGATACCGTGGTTCAAACACGCGATTGAAATTCTCTATGAGCGGTAACGTCCTGTGGGTCCGAATATCAACACGTGCAGCCGTCCACTCAGTTGTCCGCGCGGACTGTGGTGCGGTGTCAAAACGTGCAGATTCTGCGCATATGAGTGGCGGACAGATGGCTATCTTCGCTCGGTTGAAGGCAAAGATGAAGGCCGCAATCAATATTGGGTCGGCGTTGATGAAAAGGGCATAGCGGACGGCGAGTGCCCGGCTTCCTTTGTCCTTGAATACATGGAGGCTCTCACAATAGTCTGCCATGGTGTCTGGGAGAGGTGTGAACCGGATAGCGATGTGGTGGGGGTGTCGAAAATCACTCCTCCATCCTCATATGGAGGGGAAGCGTTGTTTTCGAAGGGATCAGTCTGAAGGATGAATGGGGAAGAAGCGAGCTCCGTGCTCTCTATCGTTTCGGCGTAGTGACGATGCGTATCGATTGAGTCTGATCATAGAAGGGAGCTTCTCATTTAGCATTGGACTACATTCGTATGTTAATGATGTTGGAGATTATTGGTATTTGAGGATAGTCCTCCACAGACCGCACCACCTCTAGCTATGAAACTCTCTAGCACACTTGTTTTGCTTCATCCGCAATGCCGCTAACGCATGCCCAACCATGATGAATTTCAGCGTGCGCTTTTTGGTGACAGCACGCCCGAACTCAAGCTCTTTCTGATTGAATCTAAGCAAAGTGACGAAGCTTTTATATCGGAGATCTGAGGAGGTCTTCGTATATCACGTGAACTGCACGTGATATCACCCGGTGAGGCTGTGCCTTGCTCAATCAATGACGTTTGTTCCTAGACTTGGGTAAGCTTGTCAGATTGAACTTCTTGACTGACGTTGCAGTCATTTCTCTAGAGTGCCACGCCCAAAATCCCAATCAAGCCTTTGGCCGGAGGCTCTTCAAGTCAGCCTGGTCTCTCGAATGCAAAATATCGGCATTTTCTGGAAAGATAATATTCCTGCATCTCAGATTAGGACTGCAGTAAACAATTGAGAAAGGGTGCAAGTGTTCGTAGAGGACACGCGAAGGACTCAATGTGAGCCCTAACTGTAGAATAGTGGTTGGCTCCGATTTGTCAGCCTCCAAAGACTTGCCATCGACATCCCTTCCCCTTGCTACCATCTCACTCAATCCTACTCTGTAGAAATCCGATCTGAGATCAACCATGGCATCCAAGCAAGCAGTATCCACGACGAAGGCGCCCGCGCCTTTGCCTCAATTTTCTCTCGCGATCAAGTATAATGGCATGGTGAGTCATATTTGGCGTTTAAAATCATTTCGATCCTTTATGAAGCCTTTCTAAACCGTCATGAGATACTTCTGGATCAAATCTGACGCAACGCGCCTCTAGGTTTACTGCTCCGGGTCCATTGGCGTCAATCCGGCGACGAAGAAGCTCGCTGAGGGTGGTATCAAGAGCGAGACCGTAAGTCGTGCAGACACCATCACATAAGCGTAATTAGACTGAGTTGATCTTTCTCATAGCGTCAAGCCATCCAAAACCTCGTCGCCGTGCTCGAGGAAGCTGGCAGCAGCTTAGCGAACATCGTCAAGGTGAACATCTTCCTCACGACCATGGATCACTTCAAGACGATGAATGAGGCGTACGATGAGTTTTTTGGAGCTATTGAGCCTAAGCCGGTGAGTTCTTCCTTTTCTACTGGGGTTGAAAGAGAAAAGGAGCTGACGCGAGAGTAGTGCCGGACTTGTAAGTTGATTTTGTCCCATATGCTCGAGCCTTTTGAGGCGGGCAAGCTGACTTCCACTTTTGTAGGTGTTGCGGTCTATCAACTCCCATTCGGGGCGTTGGTTGAGTTGGAGTGTACTGCATTTCTGAGTCCTGAAGCGAAACTATAGAAGTCCTGTGTTGAAAGAGAAAAAAGCTTTGCCTATTTGGAGGTACGATAAGCCTTTGCAAGTGTATTACACAACCTAGATAAACAACAAAAGGTCGGAAAAAGAAAAGCTCGACGAACGCTCTTGAGCCTCCTCTCTTGGGCCTATCTTATTGCACCGTCCCCCTGGCTCCTGTAGCCCGAACCATACCCTATGCCGCCTTTCTCGAGGTTGAACACTTCACGGGGTCACTTGGAGGTACTCGCTACAATCTAGTTGAACTTTTAGCTTCGACATCTTTGCGCTCGGCCACGCCGTCGAGAAGGTCGCATTTGTTGATTACGGCGGAGGTGATGAGGTCGAGGGTTGGTCGGGGGGAGGAAGCCCACGCCCCTTGCTGAGTTAATGGGTGGTCTTGTGACAGGTTATGAGGGGAGTATGAGTGCCTGTGATTTCACGGTATTCCAGAGGAAGTCGAGGATGAGATGAGAGTACCAGTTCGCGGGGCATCCAGCGATGATACCGTCGAAGAGGTCGGGCCAAAGAAGTGCCTGGATGACATGAGACTTGAGCACGAGAGGTCATGAGGGATATAATTGAGTTGGAGTCCAATGTACCAGAGCAAACCCTTGCGCGCCACCCATCGAGAATCCCTTGAAATACGAATACCCCGGCTTGACACCATAGAAACTTTCTACAATCTCCCTCGACGTCGGCATATGCATCGCAATAGAATTGTGAACCCAAGCCTCGACTTGCCCGGTATGCTGCATGTAATCGATGGATAATCCAAGCCCACCAATTCCGAAGTTGTTGACTTCAGAAGCCTCGTGACCGGAGTCACAGCTGTTGCAATTCATAAACACCTGTGCTTCTTCTATGCTAGATTGAAGCGAGGTGCTTACCTAGCGATAGCATATCCCTTGTTGATATTCCACATAAATTCGTTAGCTAGGGTATCATACTTGCCCGCCATGCCTCCATTCTCAATGGCTAGGAAGCGATTATCGTAGGTATGTGCATTCGGAAGCCAGAGTTGGAATCCCAGGGTATTAGAGTTCCCATAGGCCATTCGTCCGGCAGAAGCCATATTGGTTCTTGATCCCCAGGGTTTCCAGCTCATTTGCAGAGACGTAACTCGAGTTTAACAGAGCGGCTTTCGGTTAGAGAGCACGTCGGTATGGGCAAAGGTTTCGTAGGCTTGGGTTGATATTGCGGAAGCTATTTGGGACAATGCCCAGTCGAGAGTCTCATGTTTCCTTCCTACCTTCGAATTCAGAAGAAACAATTCTGAAACAAATCCATTGACATAGACTCCATATTATTAAGAAGCATGAATAGCTTTGATAGTGTCTTACTTCCTTTCCCTCAATGGTACTCCGAGTACCCACGAATTAGTGGACCAGATACTGCTTGAGCGAACACCAGGCATCATGACTCGCATGAACGGGACGACGCGGCAAATTTCAGACTATCTTATCGCCGATCAGCCCATCTACTTTTGGGAGCGAGAACTCCCGATGCGAACTAGCCGGGTGGTAAATTGCGGTGAGCCGATTTTCCATGTTCCATCTTTTGCAAAGAAAGACCTGTGCTATTGCTATTTCGATGAGAGGATAGCTTGCTGTAGTATACCTACCTTCAGGTCCTTGCTTGAAGTTCTGAACAACATGGGCCTTACCGCCCTTGTAGCCAAGGTGGGACGACTCACAAGCGACGGTGGTGCGTACTCTCGAAAATCCCGGAACGAATGAAATCCATGGAGCAATTGCTAATATTTCCGGAACAAAGATGGTCTCGAAAAGACACTGCGACTGATTCAGTTCCTTGTCTTTACCTACCTTGCCGCCCAAAGCGGTTTAGTCAATCCGCTGCCGTTGCAGAGATTCGTCCAGCAAGTAGCAATATGTGCGTATTCAATCCAAATCAACTTTCCGCTTGCAAAGCGATTATTTTTCTTCTTTTATTGTTTTAAACTCATTATATCAATAGCTCGCCGACTCTTTCGGTTCTTCAAATTCATAGGATGCTTCGCCAAAGGACTAAAACCATCCGGTAATCCAACCGATGTCCTTGGAATGATCGAGAGACTGAAGTGGAGCTCAATGGGACTGTTTATCCTGATTGAAGACACCACTTTAGTGAGTTTGCAGTTTCCCAATCTATCCTGCACCAACATATCCAAGCCGTTTCTAGAAGATACCCGCGTGAACGAAGTGCTAATAATTACCTAGCTGGACGCAATGGGTGTCTGGACAGTGCCATGGGCAAGCGCCGTCTTCAAAGAAGCCATGAAGTTCTGGTTCTACGCCCTCTTCTTATCTATCGTACAAAACGTGATACGTTTGAGTAGAGTCATCACTGCTGCTCCCATCGATCCGAAAAGCGTGACCTCTGAGAAGACTGAAAAAGTTGCGGACGCTAGCAGCGAGAAAAGAGGTCCTACTGGGAGCGAGCAGACAGTGCAGTTCGCAAAGCTGATAATGTTGGATATCTTTGACATTATGATTCCTGGCGCGGCCACGGGCTGGTTCAGAGTCGGAAAGCTCATACTCGGCGTTGCAGCCTTGATGAGCACGGTGTTTCGTCTAACAGTCATTTGGAATAGATGCTGAGCTTCCGGCAAATGAAGAATGGAGATTCAGCAGAGTACAGTACATTTTCAGGCGTCTAATCACGTGAAGATGACATAATCCCTTTCTCTCCTCCTTCTGAGAGTATAAAAGAAGCTCATCCTCTCTTTCACTCTTGAGTCTTCCCCATGGGGCATCTTGTGGTGCACCTAGGCGGATCGAAATCTGATGTCGAGGTTGTCCATGAGTGTTGGTGGTAGACTCGATCCTGCAAAAATCCGCAAGCTCGGTGATCGATGGTACTTCGCAGAGGTCTTCTTCAACATCACTGCAACAATACCCACATGGGCGTGCACGGCTTCCGAAACTACCGCCCATAATGATCATACGCACCACTCAACACCATCATCGAACCTCGCCTTCCTACCTCCTTAAAGCTCACCACCTTGCCCGCATCCTAGTCTCCACCATCTCCACCTCATACATAACGCTCCTCATTACTAATCGTACACACGCGCCTCCATACCCACACACCATTCTCTCCCTCTTTTCTCGATTTTGCTCCTCCACGATCGAATCGCCAGTCCCCTCCACCACCATGTGATTTTGGCATGAAGGGTTTTGATCCTCCCCTCCAGCCCGCTCCCATCCAGCCATGCCTGAGTACCTTTTCTTGTTTTACTCCCACCCCCCTACCCCTCCACCCGGTGGATTCCCTGAAATGGAGGGAGTTGGTTTGTAGGAGCGGAACTCAGGACGCCAGCATGGATGGTTTCGGAACTGCTAATTTGATCCAGACCCAGATGGCCACTTCTCAGTGGCTAATTGAAAGGAACGCCGTATACACCATTGTACCGAGGTCTTACACCTGAAGATTCTCCTTCACCACGAGCAGCCTCCTCCTCAGGAGTAGACAGAGGGCCATCCTCAAGGGCTGTTTGACTGTCAGGGACTAAGGAAATAGAGCCCTGGGTTGCTGTTAGAGTGCCTGCTTGGCCGGCGGAGAGGTCCGGTGCTGTATTTGTGAACTGTACAGGATTGTTGAATACTACAATGGTCCGCTCGACCGCCGGCGTGCCTGTAGCGACACCTGCCATAGTAATTTGGCTGGCCGGTGTCGCAATCTGCATCGATTGTGTTGGTTCCTGCCCACCTACAACACTCTGCTCTTGTTGTGCACGAGCAGTAGTCTTACAAGCTCGCCGGAGATGCGACGTTCCTCCACGTGATGCTGGTCCTCCACCACTCCAATTTGTGTATACATCCTTTCCGATTTGTATAGCCTTGCCGTTTTACGCATCCAACAAGCGAGTGAAAATAATTAGTGGAACAATATTAATACGGGCCGGAGCTAGGCTAAATCTAGGGGGGGGGGGATATGCAGCAAAATGGGGGGTTGAGTAGCAAAAAGGGGGGTGATGAGTAGGCTCGTCCTCTTAGAATGCCAAGATACCACTAAGATACTCATAGCCACCCTCGAGAAGCCCCAGGTTAGTGTTGAGTGACGTGAAAAGGGAGTTGGTAGGATACGACATCCGCTGACGAACTATTAGTAATTCCACTATCGTTTACATGTATATTCGAAATCCACCTTCAAAATACCCAGATTCCGTGATTCAAAATGGTATACAGCACCGAGATATTCCTCCCCGATAGAACTCCCACAAATAGATCCGGATCAAAACGCCGATTTTTGGGGATAACAGACTAAATCCCATCGTCGTCCGAGTCCAGTTCCACGACCATGCTTTCAGCGGCCGCTTGCATGCGCGGGTCGTCGTAGTTGGTTATGTCGGTCATTTTCAATCTGAACATAAATTAGCCACTGCTCCTTGCCACTGGAGATCCGATATTCAAGAACATACCGATCAAAAAGCACCATCAGCTTCTCCTCCCCCTGTCCCTTAGTCCTCCTCTTCGCCGCCGCACTACTCCTGTCCTTTGGCAGACCAGGCAACGGCTTCCTCCCCGTCAAATCCACAGACCGCGATTTGGTCGACTCATCAGACATGCTCGCTACACTACTCCTCACGCTCGAGTTCTTCGCTGGGATCTGCATATTCCGGGTCATGAGGAACCCGCTGGAGAAGCCTAGTCCAAACTCTCCGGTCAATTTCGACACGTCGCCGCCTGAGAGTTCGAAGAAGAGGCTGCTGATGCTGTCGTAGAGGGAGGTGGAGCGCGGATTGGCGAGGTAGTCCATCAGCCGCACGTGGAGTAGGGCGGGGTCTTTGCTGATGACCCCTTTCTTGGGCGGGTCGGGGAGCATGGAGGCTTTCATGATGGCGATTACGGGCGGAGGGGAAACTTTTGCGAGACGCTTTAGGAGAGTTAGGAGGGGTGTGACGGTTGCGTCGAGCTCGGTATCGCCGTAGGTGCGGAGCGCGACATCGAGGATTGATATCAGAGCTTCGACGCAGGGTTTGAGGTTGGAGTTGATGAGGCTTTTGTCTTCGAAGTCCATGTTGATGAGGGAGTTGATTAGGAAGTTTATGGGGGCGAGTAAGGGGGGTGTTACTACAGGACGTCGAGAAAGGATCTTCATGATGGGTGAGATGGATTTAGAGAAAGGGTTGGTGCGGGTGGGACAGAAGTGGGTGACGTTGAAAAGAAGCTTGAGGGTTTCGGAGAGAGCTTCGTCGTCTTTTGAGGTCGGACGTTTCTTCTTGGCATGGCGTTCGATGTTCTAGGATTGTTAACGATGGTCCAGATAAAGTTGATCGTGAAGATGTCGATCACTCACATCATTAATGTGATCGGCGAGACGATGCTTGTCGATCAGTTTCTCGAAGCTTTGGGTCGTCCCATACGAGGTTAGGAAAAGAATGCGGGACATCAGAAACTCGTCGTCTTTCTTCGGTTTTCGCAGTCGTCCTACTGCGCGTTCGCTATAGCCTAGGTCGACGAACATTTGCCGCGTGGGCGGTTTGGAGAGCAAGGCGTTGGCTAAACATTGCAAAGCTGCTTTGGAGGTAGTGAGCGACGTGCTGTGGAAGCTGTGGTGGGTCAAGATCTCGATTCCCTGTTACCCTTAGTCCCACTGAAATGAAGCATGATAATTCGAGAAGTGCGGTACCTGTGGGGTGAATATAGGGTCGGCATTGTCAGGATTTCGCCCAAAGACTTTGAGCTGCTCCATGTAGGCATTCCGCTCTACGTCGAGTCAGTGTATGCACGCTGCCGGGCAATTGAACGACCTACCATGAGGCAGCAGATTGATGTGCTCAAAGTCATCGCGAAGCTCGTCGACCAGCTTCTCGACACGCTTCAGCTTTTCTGCAGGCAAAATCTCAGCAGAGGCCATGAGGATGAGGGGTGGGGCATGGGGGAATGCGTGCGGATTCTCACATACCGGCAGCAGAAATGTCATCGTCGGTAACGGGCCGAGGGAGGGCGAAGGTCTTCATGCGGAAGTGCTCTGCGGATCGTAAGCACTGGTGAGGCACTTGAGGCACGGTTTGCAGAGAGGTTGCAACAGGCAGTAGGATTGACAGACTGACACGAGCTTATCACGGAAGTTGGCACGGATTGTCGGACCAGGCAGACAGTCGGGAGGCAGACGAGGCCAGAAAGGGAGGGCGGGCGTTGCATCCAGACTTTGGAGGCAGAGCTGAAGCTGAAGTGCAGGGCCTCCCCAGCACCCGAGTCACCTCCGCACGTGGCACCCTGTCCGGTCTGGGGAAGGGCATGCGGACCGGCAGCTTCTGGTGATTCCAGAGGCGGCTTGGAGCCTCGTATCGCGCCATCCGGCCACCCCGCCAGCCTCAACACGCCGTCGAGATCACTATAGCGGAGGCGCCCCCGCCAGGTGCATCAACACAGTGGCATGTCGCTATTGAGGGGGGTCGAGAGACGGCACAGCACGGGTGAGTGCAGTCAACGAGTGGGACGGCATCGTCTGGCGTGGAACGAAGCTGCAGCCGAGGAATCCTGCGGGTTAAAGAAACCCCCAGCGCTCGGATTCTTGCCCAGGCTGGCAGGCTGGCCGCAGAAGGGGCCGCAGAAGGGGCTGGAAAAGCGGCTGGTGAGACGGGCGGGCGGTCTGAGTGCATAGCGACATTAGGAGAGCGTGCGAGGAGATCAAGGAGGCTCCCGGAGACTTGGTGGTGTCGCGTGCTAACGGCGGGCAGCCACAGCGGCGACGGCACAACGGTTTCGTTACAGCATCTCTTTACAGCATCTCTTTACGTCCGGTGGTCACTCTCTAATATCAAGCCACCGACTTACCGTATAAGGAAGCAACTCCGGACGCCCTTAGGGGGGAATAGCAACGTTCTAGCCAATCAATCCTCAAGCCGGTTAAGTACTAGCCCAGAAAAGAGGGAAACCAGGACTGACTCAGTTTAGCGCTATGTTCACCGGACGTGAAGAGATGCTGTGTAGGCGGGGCGTCTGACACGGCATCAGGCCCTACAACGTCTCCCAGATGCCTGGTCTCCTCGCGCGTTCCTGCGCGCCTGCAGTCGTGTGCTCCGAGGGAGTCAGTTCGCTGTGGTTGGTGCATAATGCATGTGGTTGCCAGGCACGTTGACAGGGACGGAGCTGTAAAAGTGCCGTGAGAGGACGACGATATTGCCCTACCGCGCGAGTCAGGACACAGCGGGTGGTTGAACGCGTGCCCTGAGAACTGTGAATAATAGCTCAGCAAACGGCCCTAAGTGCGTAACGTTGACAGCGCCTCCACGCGCTGGCCGTCGTGAAAAGAAAGGCCCCGGCCCAAAGCTTAAGCCGACATCTTCTCCCCGCCCCCCGCCACCGTCCCTATGATCCCCTCACTATAGTTAATGGAACGCCTTCCTGAAGCGTCGCGATGCCGTCTTCTCCACCAAGCGGCGAGCATCCGCGGGGACTGCATGCCCCCAATTGATGTGGTCGATCCCGCTCCCTGTTCGGCTGGCAAGTCATGCGTCGCGAGTTCTCCCTTCAACACCACCGGCCATGCAGATCCCACGCACAACACGTTTGACCCGACGCGGCGCCCGCATGCTTAGCATCCAGTGCCTGGCCCAGCAGCCTATCACCGCTGGTGTATCCGTATCGATGCTCGTAGCCGATTGTATCTCCTCAACGGCCTGTTCATCCTTCAAGCTTCACGCCCGATCCTTCGCCCGGGCGAGGTCCTGTGAGGTCCTGCGAGGTCCTGGCTTTGTCCGTGTGCCTCACGGCTCCAGGACGACGGTCTGACAGCAGCGCGAACCTGGGGCGGAGCCGTGCTCTTCTCAAGCCTCTCCGGGTTTGCCCTCGCGCCATGGGCATTCAGGGGCGTCGGCTACTGCACGCACATCAGAGAATGCAGCGGGAGGGCTTCTCAATCCAGTTAGAGATGTCCATTTCGCGGCGGCACTTCACCGCCCGCCGCCAATCCGTGCCGCGGCCATGCCACATCCATGCCATATCTATGCCGTATCCATGCTCGTATCTTGCTTGTACTAAATCGACCCTCATCCGCATGTGTTCGTGAGCTTCTTTCCCGTTTCCTCTATCGTGTTTCTGCTCTACGTACTGTCTTGTTGTTGGACACTGGTGATCCAGCATGAAAACCATCTCCAATGTCTACGCCGTGTGTGGCTTCGCTGCCATTGGTATGCATATCCCGATCCGTGTTTCAATATTGATTCGCCGCTGACAACCGCAGGCGGCGGCCTTTTCGGCATGGACATTGCAACTATGAGCGGAGTTTTGGGGACAGAGTCCTACAGGAGATATTTCCACCACCCTGTCTCTTACACCCAGGGCTCCATAACTGCCTCCATGCCCATAGGCTCCATCTTCGGCGCTTTATCTTCCTCCTTCGTCTCGGATCGTTTCTCGCGTAAAATCGCCATTCAGGTCTCATGTCTGCTCTGGGTTTTGGGATCTGCGTACGTCGTGCCCTTTCTCATAGCTTCTCAATCCTAATTTCCACCAGCATCCAAAGCGGCGCCAACGGTATTCCAGCTCTATGCATAGGTCGCTTCGTCTCCGGAGTCGGCGTCGGTGCTGCATCAGCCATCGTACCAGTGTACCAAGCCGAAATCGCCCCCAAGGAAATCCGAGGCCGCATTATCACTCTCCAGCAATGGGCTATTACCTGGGGCATTTTGATCCAGTATTTCATCCAGTACGCCTGCTCGTTTGTGGACGGTGGCGCCAAGAACCCTGCGCAGAGCACCGCCGCTTTCCGCATCCCCTGGGGTCTGCAATCTATCCCTGCGTTCATCCTCTGTATTGGCTTGATGTGGTTCCCGTACTCTCCGCGCTGGCTCGCGTCGCAGGACCGCTGGGAAGAAGCCGTCACCGTGCTGGCTGACCTCCACGCTGGTGGCAACCTCAAACATCCCAAAGTTCTAGCTCAGTATCGCGAGATCGAGGAAGCCCTCCGCTTTGAAAAGGAATGCCGTGCAGCTGGATGGGCCGCACTCGCTGAGCATAAAATGGCGAAGCGGCTCGTCATAGGCACGTCCGTGCAAATGTTCTCCGGGTTATCTGGGATGAATGTAATGATGTACGTGCATTTCGCTTACCTGAAATTCATCTACATGAATTCTACTTTGCTATCCTTCTATATAAACATTGCTAACAGTTTCATACAGGTACTACATAGTCTACATTATGGAATCCGCCAACATCGGCTCTCCCTTGCTGACGGCTAGCATCCAATACATCATCAACGTCGCCATCACCCTCCCCGCGATCCTCTACATCGACCGCTGGGGCCGCCGCCCGACGCTTCTTCTCGGCTCCCTCAGCATGGCCACGCTCCTCTTCATCTCCGGCGCCCTACAAGCCGGCTACGGCTCGCCCGTCCTCCGCTCCGACTCCCCTGACGCCGCGCTCAGCTGGCACATTGTCGACAACCCGCCCGTCTCCAAAACCATCGTCGCGTGCTCCTACCTCCTAGTCGCCACCTTCGCCACCACGTGGGGCCCCGTCAGCTGGACGTACCCGGCCGAGATCTTCCCGAACCGCATCCGCGCCAAAGCGACGAGCATCACGACGGCGGCGAACTGGATTTTCAACGCCGCGCTGGCGTTTGCGGTCCCGCCGCTGCTGTACAGCATCAACTGGAAGATGTACATGATCTTCGGCACGTTCAACATGATTGCGTTCATCCAGGTGTTTCTGATGGTGCCCGAGACGAAGAACTTCACGCTCGAGGAGATGGATGTCGTGTTTGAGGGGCGGCCGTGGGCGAAGGAGCGGCCGAAGGAGAGCAACCTCGATGACTTGGAGCAGCAGATTGCGTGCGGGGCGCTGGACGTGGATATCCATAAGGAGGGCGTCGTAACGATGCTGGGGGATGTGGGGAGTATGGGTAAAGGAGGCAGGGATGGGAAGGCGAGTTCACTGAGCGAGAGTGAGGACCAGAAGCCGATTATGGTGGAGACGGCGATTGAGATGACGAGTCGGCCGCGGAGTAGTTATGAGAGTGAGGGGAGGGTTAGGGAGAGGGAGTTCTAGGGACGCGTTGGGCGGCATTCTGGGTACTGGCGTTTTGAGCGGGTGGGGGCTGGGCGGGATGGGTTTGGGTGGGTTTAGGATTGATATCCATGGTCGCTATATATGTGTAAGAATCGAAGAATCAAGTCAAAGATTACAATTTTAAATAATACAGTGCCTTATTATAGATATCCATACACTTCGCTGCCACTGTCTGTGGGGCTGCAACCTACGAACAGAAACCGGGGGCAGCGGATACACTTCCATTCTGCGAACACTGCCAATTTGCGTGCACCCTTGTTGGCACTGTCGAAGGTAGCCTCACGAGATTACTAGTTGTGTAAAATACCAAACTCCTCTCTCATTCAGAATGCTTAAAATATTATGATGCTCCTCACGCAGCGGTAAACGAGTGGACGGAGTTCAATGACAAGGCAATTGTAGTCCCATCCAACGGTAAAGTCACGTGCTCTGCACGCACCTCCTCCCCTCCTCCCTCTCCGACTATAAAAAACATCCCCCTCTCCCACTCCTAAGCCTCCACAGACAGCTTTTGCAGCCATCGGTTCAAACAGAGGTAGCCATGAAGTCATGGCTGCTGGAAGTGGTCCGCGGGAGGAGCAAAATGGCACGTTTAACCCTCCGATGGCTCGGTGGAAGTCAGTGGTGGGTTGAAGGGGGTCGGTGGTGGATCAACTGGAAGTGTGCAACACGTGATGGAGGGGAGCGGAGTGTAAAATCACGATGACGGAGACTTAACGGCTGGTGGAGGGATGGTGGAGTCGGTAGTAGTTGGTGATGAAGACCAAGGTTAGGGGATGAAGACGGTGGAGATGGTGAGATATTGGTCTATTATGGGATAGTTATGGTGAAGCTTAGAGATACTAAAAAGGTAGGATTCAGTGGTATCTTAAGATGCTAACCGTCGTCATTGGAATAGGTGAGGGCGCTGACGCACGACACACAACGCTCAAACACACTACCCCTAGATCATGGGGTGCATCTTCCAGTTGTGTTGCAAGAATCCCAGAAACTGCCATTGTTCATGTTCCTGCGAGGTTTCACACACTCGACCCACCACTCCCTATCTAGGAAGAAAGCTAGAGGGCTGCGACGGTAAAGTCTTATATAGTACTTCAGTCGGTGGAGTAAGAGATCATGTTGCCAGCCCACGAGCAGACAACGTGAGGAACGTATCCCCTATCGCTGTTATACTCCTTGGAGTTTTTAGCCTCAACCAACCAACCCTCCACACGTGCTCTCGGACATATCCCGTGCCTCCCACGTGCCCACTTAATCTCCCCTTCCTCACCAACTATAAACTCCCCTCCACCTCCTCGTTTCCAGAACCAGAGAAGATCGCAGACTTCGATCTCGTATCAACAACGGAGAGTACTGGCAATTATGTTGGCAGCGTGGTCCTGGTTTACTCGTCCCATAAACTACCTCCACCATTCCAGGGGATCCACCGGGTGGTGAAAGGGGTTTGTAGGGGGAGCAACAACGATGAGGTTACGCCCATATGGCTGGGGGAAAGTGGGGCTGGGGGTAAAAAGGGAGAAGATGCGGCTGAATGGGGTAGAGGAATCAAAGCCGTGGACGGGCAATTGGTCATGGAGAGCATCGCCTCACATTGGTTTTGATGGTTGGAGGAGGCGGTGGGGGTAGAGTGGTGGCTGAGGAAGTGTTGTTGGTGATGACGGGGAGTAGTGATCGGAGAAGATAGCGAGAAGATAAAAGGAGAGTGATAAGAAGCACTGATGGTTTAGTGACTGGTAGAGCTTCGGCGCGGTAGAGGGATGACGTTTCCCAGTACCTTAAAGTACTACTCATCCTCATCAACGTTCCATGGATCCAAGCCCAGCTCCCGCCGCGCCCATGACAGGTCTCACTGGTTGTTTTGAATTCCAACACTCTCGCCGCCCTAGAGTCCCCTGAAGAAGAATTGGCAATTGCAAGAACACGATCTTTTATACTTTCCAAGTAGCTAGCTTACTAACGGACCACGTAATCATCCACGTGATCGATTCCTTGCTATCTTTTTCTTACACCCAACTCCCCCAACACCATCCTCCGACCGCCACCAAACCCAGAAGTAGCACCAGGACTCCCATCAAACAACCCGTCCCAACCCTATCGCCCGCCCCCTTATACCCAGCCATAACCCAATCCGTTCCAAAGAATATCCACAGCAGCGTCGCAAGCACGCTAAGCGCTAACACCAATGCAACGGCAAAGAGAATGTGCCTCCAGCGCCAGCGGTGTGTAAAGACAATTCCAGTGACGAGATCCGTATCGATCTCGGGAGCTGGAGAAGGCGGTAACTCCTTCTCTCCGTTCTCGGCCATTTTTGGGGGCGGTTGAGCTGGCTGGGATGAGGATGAGGGCTGGTTGGCGGCAGCAACGCGACGGGCCCAATGCACCCACGCATACCTCGCCTTTCCCGTCCTCGGATTCTGAAACAACCCCCACAATTTAGCCTCCGAAAAGGTGTCGCTCGTGTCTCTTGCCGCGAGCAACCGCCCTCCTCGTCCCAAATCCCTTTCTTCTTCATCTCCCCACCCGTCACTACCACTCCACCCATCCCACCTCCCAACCCCTATCCTGCCCAGCCCCCTCGCACTCCCCAACCTCCTCCACCACGGCTCCGCCATCTTCCTATACCCCTCCCTCAACTGCCTCGCCAAGACCTCATCATCAAAATCCAGCGTCTCAAACTCCCTCTCCGCAGCCCTTGGATTCTTCACTTCCTCCCCAACCCTCCTCCCGCCAACCCAGAGCCCCTTATCCCGCCCTCTCTGCACAACCTGCAGCGTCAAGCTTGCCGGGATCGCGATCTCCGCCGTCCTGCTCGCCGTCCTCCCCGCTCTCCTCGTCAGCGAGAGATACAACACCGACTCCCCCTTCTTCCCGCCCGCCTGTGCCGACGTCGCCGTAGCATCTGGCCGCGCGTTCGATCCAAACCTGCGGCGTGATGGCTTCTTGGAGTTGGAGGAGGCGTCGCGGAAGGAGTGCTTGTGCCCCCTCACCCTCACCCGATCCGCTGACAGAGGAGTCGGATGGTTCGCGCTGCGCTGCACACCCCTCGGTTTCGGGAACGTCTTGTGCGGCGAAAAGGGGTACGGCGTGCGTATGAAATGCGCGGGTAGGTCCTTCGGCCTCTCGTGAGGACGGGGTGGGAGGGGCGGTTGGATCTTCAGCTTTGTGTTCCGCGATTTCTTCGCTGCTTCGTGTGCTGGGGCCGATTGCGAGCGCGTTCGGGAGTTGGTGGGGAGAGTTGGGGGAAAGGGTGCGTGAGGGGAGAAGGCGGATGTGAGGGAGGCGATGTTGATGTTGTGGTTGTGGCTGGGGGAGCGAGAGCGGGAGCGCGCGGGGCGTTGGGGGATGTTGCGGGCTGGAGGGTGCTGACTCTGCTGTTGGTGCTGCAAGCTCATTCTCCTACAGGCCACAGGTTTCTTCCCTCCACTCCCCGCTTCGTTTGAGTGCCGTGTTTCTAGTGCGCGCATCGTGATGGCATGTGCACTGAGGATGGGGTCCTGCTCTGACGTGAAAGGGAGGGAGAGGTCCAAGGAGTAGGGTAGAGCCGGGGCAGAAGGGGATGTAGGAGATCGCGAGGTAGGGTCTGAGTAGGAGCCGGAGTTGCGGGGGGTGGTAGTAGTTACGAGGCGGCTGGGACCTGGGCGGTGATCTTGGATGGGAGAGATATTCAGAGATGTCAGAGATGGTGTGGAAGGGATGCCTGTGAATTGTTAAAACTTTGACGCTGGGTGCGCAATAGGTAGAAAACGGACCATCATGGTGGTAGAAGGATGCAGGTTCGAAGTCTGTTTCTTCTGCCCCATCGTCGCCTGAGCTATTCGCTGAAGCCTGAGCATCTTGACTAAGCTGATGTAGGCTCATCGGTAATTCGTCATCAGACGAATCGTCAAAGAAGTTTGCGCCCGGTGACATTGATGTCTGTATTGAGCGCTCCATCTCCGGATGTATGCTCTGCTTTCTCCCGATAGACCCCTCCACGACTCGAGGGGAACTCGCCGGAGAGCTCGAAAGTCGAGAGTTGGAGTCAAGAATGACTGGTGGCAAAGCCATTGGATCGATACTATAAGACACTCTAGAATCTGAGACAAGAGGGCCGGAGAACAAGTTTATACAGTACCGAAGGACTAGTAATGCCAAAACATTTGAATTGGTGGTGAGGCCAAATGGCGAATGAAACTGTGGCGCGAAAGCGTGAAAGACAAAACAAAGAAACACGCTACAAGGGTATTGCGCTGGTATATCTTTGTGAGAAGCTTATTACGCATTCCTGTCCTGGCGATCTTTACCTTTTGCAAGTAGTTATTAACCATGGAATGAAAGTGATATAAGCGAGCCGAAAATAAACTTAGACTCTATCGCATAGCAAAGTAAGACGTAGGAATAGGTACGGAGAGAAGGAAAAGGAGGAGTTTATTGACTGAATCTTGAGGTTATTTCCTACTACTGATAGTGAGTGTCCTGGTTCTACTACAGAGGTGCAAGAGGAATCAAAATCCATGATCATAGGATATTGCGCCATAAGAGCGTAGCTCTGCAGTACTGAACAGAGTCATTTCCGTAAACGCCATACTTAATGATCCGTGCTCGGATATCTAAAAGGACGAGAAGCCTTGTGGCGTCGAGGAATTGTGCACGTCGGGCGGACAGTTTTTGCCAACACTGTGGATAGAGAGGGGACGCAGTGTGATCTTGTTGCGACCACAAAGGGAGACGGCTTAAGCATTAAGGACCTGTCTTGAAGCCGGCTCTCGCTCGATCTCATACTCGATCTCCCGCCGTGGTCCTTTGGAAGGTTTCTTCTTCGGTTTCGGTGACGGCGCGGCTGGTCGTTTGCGCTTGAGGTTTCCGAGGGCTTTCTTGAGAGCTTCAACCTCCTCGCCTTCATCCTCGCCTTCCTCGTCACTTGCACTACCGCTCTCGTCGTCTTCCTCTACTTCTTCGTTACTAGACTCTTCGTCCGCACTCTCTCCGTCCATCCAGTCGTCAAAGTCCTCCATATCGCCATCCTCGTCGTCCGACTCGCCCTCAATGTCGCTCACGTACTCGACTTCACCCTCACCGAGCTCTTTCTCGTACTCGCCCTCAATCTCTTCGACCTCTTCTTCAATGCCGTCGTCGAGATCTTCATCGCGAGTTGCCTCTCCACTTCTCTCCAGACTATACCACTATTAGCATACGAATGAAACAGCAATAAGTTGTGTGAACTGACCCTTTCATGACCTTCTTCCACACATTTGGCTCTACGTTCAACGGCCTGTCTCCATACGCCCCACTCCTTAATCTCTCAACTAATACTCTCTCAATTGCCCTCTCAACCTTCGCCGCGGCCTCTGCCTTCCGCTCACGCGTCTCCTCTCTCCTCCGCACCTTTGGTGCTAGCTTCGGCACTAGCTTCTCTCCCAGCCTCTCTTGTTCCCGCGCCAATTTCCGCGTCCGAATCGCAACCTGTGTCAGCCGTGTCAACCGCTGCTTGCACTTGTGCAGCAGGAATTTGGGCCAGTAGATCAGCTGCGCGTCGATTTGAGCGAGCGCGGTCGCATAATTGGAAGAGAGTTTGATCCGCTGCCACCATCGATTTGGCAGATGGGCGCGCTCGACAGTCTTGATGTAGAGGTAGAGAACGCCGGTCTCGGGATGCGGGCGGAGAGTAGCATATCTGGAATTGGAGAGCGGGCAGGATTGTTTAGTACAGAGGCCGGTGACGTTGTATTCGTTTCGACAGAAGGTTTGGTCTTTGGTGGTTCTGCGGCAATTAACTTGAAGAAGTGGAGAGGAAGAGGCATACGCACTTTACTTTGTAGGAGCAGAACTGATTGCCGATGATGTTCCAAACTAAGTCATCAGACGCCATGTTTGCGTGGTTTTGCTGTGGTATCTGGCCGTTGGATTTGAGGCTGGAGAAAAATGCGGGAGATGAAGAAATATGAAATCTTGGCGTTCATCGGCCGAACTAATTTTCCGGTCATACTACGGCACACTACAGCTCCAAAAATGCAGCAATGGTACGCCGTACACCTCCGTCCATCTCCGCACTTCAGCTTAAGCTTCACCCCTCCTCGATATTCGGAACCAGCCATGTATTCGCAGCGACAGCACGCATATGCGCCCACCCCATATGTCCCTCGAGCCAATTTATCGGCTAACATCAATCTCGATGAAGTAAAATATATTGGATCGCCGTCAATATCCATCTCTGACTCCATACCAGGAAGTCAAGCTCTCTGCCACGAGCGCAGAACGCGACCTCTACGACTCCCTCGCCGAGATATACAGCATTATAATTACCCTCGATGCCCTCGAGAAAGCCTACCTCAAAGACTCGATACCTGAGAGCGAATACACCGAAACATGTAGTCGACTCTTGAAGCAATATAAGTCTAGTTTAGCAGACGAAAGCGTAGCCGCTGCATTTGGGCATCTTGAGAACTTCAAACGGGAGTGGGACGTACGTTATCTACACCAACGCTTGATTCTTCTACAAGCATTCTAAATGCTAATCTCACTTCAGATTGAAGCACCCCGCGCCACTGAACGCATACGCATTGGCCTTCCTGAGACTACTAGCAGACAAGTCGACCCAAATGCCTCCGCCGACGTGACTCTCGTCGTGAATGCTACCGAGAACTTTATTACCCTTCTCGACGCTATCAAAATGGGGCTAGCCGGGAAGGACACGCTGCACCCGCTGCTAGTAGACATCATCCAGTCGGTGAACAAGGTCACAGATAAAGATTTCGATAACAAGGGAAAGATTATACAGTGGCTCATCACACTGAATCAGATGCGTATAGCGCAGAAGTTGGATGAAGATCAACTGCGGGAGTTCCAGTTTGAGATGGATCAAGCGTATTATGGGTTCAAGCAGATTTTGAAGGGGGATTGAGGGGTATATGCGTATGCCTCAAGATTTAAAGATACCGCAATGGAGCTAGATGCCTTGTTACGGCCCATCAAGAGCAGGAAGCTCCAAGCCAGACGATTCGCCAACCCGGACAAAGTCGCAAACACACGGCCTCACGGTCGCTTCTAGCGCCACGCATGGTCAATGTCTAGAAGCATTGCTCTCGGCTGTGCGCCGCAATCACGACGTCTGTTTTATCGTAAGTGGGCGCCCCCTCAAAGCAAAGGCAGACAATATTGCCGAATGAGCCAAAGAGCGCAGAACCAAGAGTCAAGAAAGCAGATAATACCAATCAATCTAGTGCTTGCATTCTACTCACCTCACAATTATCCACCGAACTTTCCTTTGAGTTATCGTGAAATTCCTATATTATTTCTCACGTTCTTGAGGCTCTCACTTTGACCAGTACATATTGTCCACCTCGTCTCACAAGCGCGTTATACCCCTTTCACAACTCTGTTGGATGTAAATGGAATGATCCGCTTATGTTTATGGATTGCTCTGGGAACTCAACCATCTTCGGCGAGGGTATCTCATCTGTAATAGCCTGGACGATATCACCATTTCTTTTCCGCCGTTAACTAGACACTTAGGACTTCATTCTTCGTCAATCAGCAATGTCCATTGAGAAGCAGGCGTATTCTCCGCACTTCTACGAATATTCAGCCGCTAGTCCCGATGCTGGTATGACGGAACGTTTCAAGATGCTACACGTCATTCCGAGTCTTCAACCATCAGTTTGAGGATTGTAGGATTGGGATTGTGCTTGCGGCATTGGACTTCGTCGGGGAGCCTTATATCTGGGAGTTCTTAATCTAAGGTGATTGGGTTGAGGGCTGTTGGGTTTGCTAGGAGGTGCGAGAGGGAATGGGGTGATGTACTGTTCGGGGAGGTCGTTCTTTTACGTTTCTTTGGAGGATTATTTGTGGTGCTTGAATGCTTCTTGAGTGCAGGAAAGTCGATAGTACGATGAGGTTATTGTATGTGGTGGAAGAACACGATAAATGGCTAGGAACTCGAAACAATGAGACCAAATATTGTAATTAGCTCTTCCTCTCGTCAATATATATTGTATAAGCTACTTACGGGTGATGCATGAACTTGTTCTTGAATAACCTCTATCTGACCAATAAGCGCACCCTCTTTGCGTCAAAGCGCCCTTGTCTCGTCCTCATCTCACCCTTCAGCAACGACATGGCGTCGTTCTCCATCATTGAACATCAAAAACCTCCACAATGGCCCGGCCGTCTAGTGGCCGTTAAGGTATATATCTGACACTTGAAATGGCTACTCAGCTCTGGTGACTGGAATCTTGTGACCTCGTCCACTCAAAGCACTGGGCATCATGCCTCAACCATGGCGCTCTCCAGCCACCCGTGGCGCCTACACTACCGTCGCCCAAGCCGAAGAAACAGACGTAGAACTACGGCCATTTAGAATATCTAGCGCCAGTGACAGGACTCCCGAGAAGCCTGTCGATGCCTTTGATGGGGTTGGCAATGGAGCCGAGCCGACGCTGCATGAGCGAGATACGCTTCGCAGAGTATCCGATAAGCTACCATGGAGCGCATTTTTGGTGGCTGTCGTTGAGTTCTGTGAACGGTTTGCGTACTATGGGCTTTCAGGGCCGTTTCAGAACTATATGGCGAATAGTTGGCATGATAAGAATGGGCTTCCGGGCGCGTTAGGTACGAACGAATGACCATTTGAATTAATACTGGACTGATGGTATGTTGAAGGGCTCAATCAATCCGGGGCCACGGCGATGTCGAATTACTTCCAATTTTGGTGCTACTTGACTCCCATCATTGGTAAGTTTTCTCTGGCCTTATATGGGATGTACGCTGACCGTCACAGGCGCCATCATCGCCGACCAATATCTCGGAAAGTACCTGACCATCGTCTACTTCTCCGTCGTTTATATGCTTGGCATTATCATTCTCTTCTTAACCTCGCTCCCCATTTCCATCGAAAACGGCTACGCTTTTGGCGGCCTGATCACTGCTATGGCCGTCATTGGCCTCGGAACCGGAGGCATCAAAGCCAACGTCTCACCACTCATCGCAGAACAGTGTCAAGCCAGTAAACCCTTCGTCAGGACCCTCCGAGGGGGTGAACGGGTGATTGTCGACCCCGCCGTCACGATTCAAAGAATCTACATGATCTTTTACATGTGCATCAATCTCGGGTCTCTGTCTGCTATCGCTACCACTAGCTTGGAAAAGAGTGTTGGGTTCTGGAGCGCTTATTTACTACCGTTAATTACGTTTATGGTTGGCTTTGCGGTTCTCATTTCGGGGAGGAAGGAATATGTCGTGCATCCTCCGAAAGGCGGCGTTGTTACGAATTGCTTCAAGGCGCTCTGGATTGGGATTATGAATAAGGGTAATCTTGATGCCGCAAAGCCTTCTTGCCAAGGGCAGTTTCGACGCAGCTATACGACACCGTGGGATGATCGGTTTGTAGACGAGTTGAAGCGGGCTGTGGTCGCTTGTAAGGTGTTCACGTTTTACCCGATCTATTGGCTCGTTTATAATCAGATGATGAATAACTTCATCTCTCAAGGTAAATGTTTCTCACTCTTCCCTTCTTCTCATTTTCCGTATCTCGAATTTCTTCCGTTCGTCGACTCTCAACGTTGTAATCTTTCCGTAAAAAAGACATCTACACGTCATCAGTATTCGATGCTCCTCCCTTCAAACAGCGGCTAACCCCTCGCAGCCGGGCAAACCCAACTCCACAACATCCCAAACGACATAATGCAAAACATCGACCCCCTCACCATCCTGCTATTCATCCCCCTCCTCGACCGCCTCCTCTACCCCCTCCTCCGCCGCCTCTCCATCCCCTTCCCTCCGATCTCCCGCATCACCGCCGGGTTCCTCCTCGCCAGCCTCGCCATGCTCTACGCCGCCTTCGTCCAACACCTCATCTACACCTCGCCCCCCTGCTATTCCCGCCCATCGGCCTGCGACGCCGCCAAGCTCCCCGCCGGCGGTTTCAGGCCCAACGAGGTCCACGTCGCTGTGCAGACCCCGGCGTATTTGCTCGTAGGCTTGAGTGAGATATTCGCGAGCGTGACGGGCTTGGAGTATGCGTATACGAAGGCGCCGAGGAGTATGAAGAGTTTTATTATGGCGGTTTTCCTGTTAACGAGCGCAGGGGGGAGTCTGTTGGGGGTGCTGTTGGCGCCGAGTGCGAGGGATCCGTGGGTGGGGTGGATGTATGCGGGATTGGCGGTTGTGTGTGTGGGGACGGGGGCGGTGTTTTGGTGGGTTTTCAGGGGGTTGAATGCGTTGGAGGAGGGAATGAATGGGTTAGGTGAAGATGCGGGGATGATGGGCGAAGAGAGGGATGAAGAAGAGGAAAGTTTTATCTCGGAGGTAGACAGGGAGAGGGAGAGGGCGATATAGAGCCCTCAGCGGACGGATCAACAATGTGAAAATGCACTAGGGACGACGAGAAGAGCCAAAATGTCCTATTCTACACCAAAAGTCCACCGAGGGGTGATTCTAGTACTAGCACATGGGTTTGAGTATGTAAGTCTGCCGCTGCTTGAGCTACCTCGGTGCATTTCCAAAAACGCAGGGGTATGTATGGAAGTAAGCCCAACCCATGTCGTTACAGAGCTCATATTTGCTGCAGATTTTCGAAAGCGTATCGAAGCACTGCAAGGAGTTTGTTGATGTGGTCAACCAACTCGCTTGAGCCAGGTCACGACACGCTCGTTTTCCACAAACTTATCATCGCGTGGATTAGTCCTGTCAGGGCCACGATTCGTGTCACATTTGGTGTTTTCTTCCGAACCCCAGGTCCAGTCGCTTCGCTGATCGCCGCGTTCCGTTACACTGTCGAGTACAGTATGGTGAGTAGTTTCGAACGTATCCTGGCATGGATTGGCGCATTTGCAGATGAGAGTGCTACAAATGTGTCAGTAAGCGTCCACAAGATGGGGGAATTTGCTTACAAAGACGCCAGCGACGAGGGAGTATTTTCGTCTGTCTCAACACGGATCTCGTGGGTCTGCTCCAACTCTTTCTGCATCTCCTTTGGCACAAACTCCCCAGAAAGCACGATTTTCTCAACTCGTCGAGTATACGAGCCCATCGTAGTGAGCATGTGCCGCATGATTGATGTCTTACAGCCAAAGCGCAACCACTCCGGCACAACGAAAGACGACGGAGGCGCCACTTCGAGGCGCAAACAACGCGGACGCAACGCCTCAAGCTGTGCACCAAACCAAGCCTTCTCTTTATACTTCGGCGATCCGGGGTACTCTAACTGCAAGAGCGTGTTGAACTTCTCCAACGGGAACTGCAGCTCCAAGGTCCCCAAGGTATTCGCGGTCGGGAATATCTCCATCTTGATCGCGAAACCCTGCAGTAGCTCAGGCTTCGTCGCTACCCACGGCGCATCTCGCTTGAAGACCTTATAAGCATTTGCCGAAACATCCTTAGATACCGCTCCCAGCGTTTTGAGCCCCTGGTTGATGAACCGCGCCTTCCCTCGAAGCTGGCTCGGCTTGTGCAGCGCCGCAGAGATATCGAACACAGGTCCAACAGTGAACAGAATGATACGATCGCGGGCCTTCTGCGGTAAGTCTGGCCATCCTAGCCGTGGCGTAGCGAGGGTCGCCCACTGATGCATATAGAACCACTTGTCATCATAGTACTTCTGAAGAGCTTCTTCGGGGCTCACGGGAGGGGGCTCATTCCTGAGGCGTTGCGCAAACTTGGACCAGTCGGTCTCGATGGGCGGGTCGGAGCCTGGAGGGGGGTTGAGGTCCCAGGAGGACATCCTGAGAGACGGGGATGAGGCCTGCATGTACCGGCGAGAATACTTCGGCGCGCTTTAGGAACTAAATGCGATGTCAGTTTCGCGTTTAGGACGACTGGAACCCTCGCTGGGGAGCCCAGATGGCGTGGTTTGCCGCTGGAGAACGGAGTCTCGATATACATACTCCAGGATGCTGAAAGTTACAATTTCATAGCACGGACGGCGCGGTAATGCTGGGGGCTTCGAGCTTTGCGAAGGTGAGTGAGGAGAAGGTGCTGTTTCCTGCGTGATAGAGAGGTCAGATACAGAGCGACGACGTGCAAATTGACGTTCGACACGGCTGAAGCGACGGCGTTGGCGAGACTCAGTTCGCTAGGTTGACACGGTGAGAGGAGTCTCAGTGGACGTTCTGGGGGTGCAAGCGAAATATCTTCAACGGCAGAATCACAGCGACCGCCGGAGCAGCAACGGATTAGCGTGGCGCAGGTTTTTCCGGAATGTGAGTTGAGTTGAAGATGTTCGCCAGTGCGCTCCAGCTCTCCCACCCTCCGCCTCCATCACGCCGCCCAACTCATTCAACACATCTTCACCAAACCACAGAACAACCTCACCTCCGTACGATGGCGGGCGACGAGATGTCGGAGACATCAGTGGAGACACCAGGTAGCAGAATGGCAGGGGGGCGATTAGAGATGCCCGTTTTGGTAAGCATTCACTAAATTATAGCATAGTCGAAGCTCGCTAACACAGATAGACACATGCCGAGTTTGAAGCGCTCCGCAAGGATATCGTTGAACTATCAAAATTCCACGTGCAAGAAGCATTGGCAGAGATGGATGCGGCACGCCGCGAAGAGATCCAGAATTTCCGCAACAAGCTCGAGGAGATCCAGTCTGCCGTCAATGAAAACACAAAGATGGTGGCATCTTTCCTGTCAACTCTCAATGACATGGAACGTCGTTGGCGTACCAGACCTCTAGGTGTACATGAGAACCAAGACTCCTCCATGGCGGCTCGTCCGCGGATGCATGGAGATATGTATCGCCCGCGAACTCCTCCTTACGTCGCCAACGATAGCGGATATGCGTACGAAACCTTTTCGAACCGTTACATCAGCCCCTCCACCTCTCGTGAGACTTCAGAACTCTCAGACTACCCGTCGTCTTCTGCCGCCTCAGGAAATGCCATCGAGTGCTCACCGGCAGGCTTCCGCGACTACATGCAGGCTATCCAAGCGCTTCGAGAACACGACCCGCGTCAGGCTGATTTCGATGACCTTCCTGAATCCTCGCCGACAACACCCAAGGCTCCTGGATCCAGACGACCGATGCGGCCCCCAGTCGTAACGAAGCGACCTCCAGTCGTAACGAAGCGACCAGTCACAACCGACGACGCACCAGAATTAAAGCGACGTAGAGTATTCCCTGCCCAGAAAGCAGCGCACGTAGCGCCCACGGCGAATCCATTGCATCCTCTCTCTTTCATGAACCTCCTCAGCAAACCACCCAACGCTTACCCGAAACCCAACGAGTACAAATTGTTCCCGGGAAACGTCACCTACGTTATGCAAAAGGATAATTTGGTAGTCGTCTCCTTCCCCGAAAAAGTCCCCCAAGGACTAGAAGCAGCTATTAAAGGGGTCATCGGCGAACTTGAAGCGAGGAGACCAGGATGGCGATCGGCGCCAGGTCTGTTCACTGCCTGGCCTTGCATTTTCAACTACGGTCACGGTGGTGGTAGCACGTGGACGCGCGAGGGACGCTACCGATACGCGTGCCGGTCTTGCTCCTCTCAGGGCAGGCCGTGTATCAAGATGGCCAAGCACGAGGAGGATGAAGATCTCATTGAGGTCACGGCGTTCTCGCTTCATCCGACGCTCCGGAAGGGGTTCTCGCGCGCGCAGCTGGACTACTGGGTCTATGACTCTGAGTACGTTTTCAACTACGACTGCTTCAAGAATGCGCTGAAGTAGTGGGGTACTACTTGCGCATGTGTGGCCGTGGCCTAGGGGTGTGGTATGAAGGGCTCTTGGTGCGGAGAGTTAGGTTATTCTCAGGGTGGGTAGGGTATTGGTGATTTTCATTGGCGATGGTCATTGGTAGAACATTTGTGCTTGGTGCACTCTAGATACCAGTACACGACTCATATTTGACAACGATGGGCATTCGGCGGAGCTGCACGGGGTCTCAGATCCTTTGCTGAGACGAAAGAACCGTTTCTAGCTCTAGGTTGTGAGCATACCTACTTTTCATACTTTCATAATCCATCAATATCATAGTCTAGTCTTTTTCCTTTCTTGTGATGAGCCTGTCACGTAAAGGATATGAGGCGTGCTCTGCAGGTGCTGTCTTCGACGAAGAGGTGAGGATGTAGAGGAGCAGGAGAGATATCCGGGGGAAGGTGAAGCGCCACACCGCTCCTCCTTAAGACTAGCTTCCTCACTTGAAAAGTGAGTTGACCAAGTACATTTCAGCTAGCATAGCTCGAGGCGTTAGCTCTTCACTTGCGTCTTCGAAAGATTCTCTTAGACTTATATAACCACTCGTACTTCCTGCTTTTCTTCCTCCTCTACTCCACCGACTTCGTCCACCTCTAAATCCTTCGCGATGATCTTGCTCATCCGGTCTTGACTTCAAGCAACACCTTAAGGCCTTCGCGCTTCGGAGCCGCGGATCTGCCTCGTTCAACAAGCCAGCGCGAGGCCAAGGCATCGCACGGTCTGGCGAAGGAGCTTAACACAGCTTAACCTCCATCGTCATATCGCAGACTCAGCTCACGCGTAAGTTCTTACTCCTTCCACTCTGCACAACTACATGCCTTCTACTGACGCTTTAATGTCAGAATCCACATTCAATCGACAGCTTTCTAATTGAGCTACCGATTTGCGAGCCCAGACGCGCTGGAGCCTACTCCTTTTTCGGAACAGATTGCCAAGCCCCTAGGGCGAGGCAGATTAAAGTAATAAGGTAGGTTTTCTTTATGGGGTGTGCTGACGGGAATGGAAGAAATACGCTGACCTTTAGATGGCAAGATGCAAGCACTACCTGACCAAGATTTGGCCAGTCGATTGGCTGCACATGAGAGTGAGGTCGACAGGATTATACGTATGTTTGGGCCGCATTCTCCTAAATTCAAGCCTTGCTCTCCTAAAATTCATATTCCATATCTATATGATTCAGAGAAAGATATTCCACAACTTGAGTACCCTGGAGCCCGACCGCCTGAAGACGAAGAAGTCCTACCATCTGAAGGCGAAGATTCCCTACCGTATGAAGACGAAGACATCTCATCACTCGAGGAGAAAGACATGCCGTCACCAAAGGATAAATTCGACCCCGCCGAGAGGTCGCAAGAAGCCCACTTTCACGGCCTTGCCCTCCCAACGCGTGAAAACGTTGTCGCTTCCGGAATCTTGGATGAGCTAGCTCCAACCATTCGAGATTTGGTTGCAGAACATGGTGTTTCATGGCTTGGAGACTGGCTAGATTTGATGTTGGAGGAATACGACAAGTGTTTGCAGGGCCTAACGATAGACGAGATGATGCGGCTGTTACTACCAGCGCGTGAACATGAGGACGAACCATCATGGTTCTTGAAGGAGCTAGCCTCTACGAAGTACTATCTCAACTTGCCGTTCGGGGGACCTCCTCGCATTACGATTATGGAAGACCCATTCATCCCAGAAGCTATGTCGCGTGGAAGGTCATACTATCTGCATCTGGCATGTGGTGGGAAACCGGCGTACATTGAGAGGATATTAATCATCTCGAATGAAGAGCTGCGCTTGCGCAAGAATAATGATTTCAAAGATCAAGATACGGGCAGAGATGATAGGTCGATGACTTTGGGTCGCGAGGATGAGGACAAGCGCACGGACTATGAGAAGCCAAAACCCAGACGCGAACACAAGAAAAGAATTCCTTTCAAGATGACTCGAACCCATCAGAGGCTCTTCGAAGCGATCCATATGGATTCAACGGATGCTACAGACGGAGATTCCTCCACGGTATCCACCACCGAAAACTCCGCAACGGATTTTCCTTCTCCAGAATATCATTCCGAAGTTAAGCTTGAAGACGTCAGCCACATGGATCCCATGATGGAGAAGTCGCAATTAAAGATGGGGGATGTCAAGTCTACAATGCAGGCCTCCATGGATCTCAAAATGGAGGATATGCGATCCGAGATGGAGGATTTCAAGTCTATTCTCCAGGCCTCCGTGGTGTCTAAGACGAACAGCCTGCGATCTGAGATGGATGAGAATGAGGCAAGGATCCAATTCTCTGTAGACTGCAAGTTGGCAAATATGCAGTCAGATTTGGCGGACATCAAGTCTCTGGCTCAGGCATCCATACAGTCCAAAGAGGTGGAGGTCATGAGATCTAAGATTCAAGGCCTGGAGTCAAATTTAGAGCGCATGACTGGAAGCTACGACCACATCTTGGAGGGACTGCGTGGAACTGGCAAACGTCCGAGACCACTTCAAGATCTGTCTGAGAGTCGACGTGAGGGAGTTGAGGATTGGCATGGAGATGTCGAGCAGGAACAGTGCAGGAAGCGCCAGCGGCAGCAGGAACCAGACACTTCTTCCAAGCTTCCGCGTAAGTCGGTCAACAGCGGTGGCGACTGGGTGCTCAAATACGGCCCTGGTTTGAAGCTCTACTGTTGAAGCGGCGAGGTTTCTTGGTGTGCTGATGATCAAGACTAAATTCACATTTCCACTATGAGGTTACTATTTAGCCTTCAAGCTAGATCCACTTCCATAGACCAAAATAAAAAGGGGCTATTAGTTTCAATATTATTCCAATTTCTATACCAATCTGCTCATCAAATCTGTTGTATTACCTCCCCCTCCAATTTAACTCCTCCAGCAATAGAGAGACGGGTTATAAATCTGTGAACACTCGTTTGACACTGGTTGGGGTAGCCCTATGGGATTTCAGCGATATAGGCACGACGTTAAGTCCCAAGCCGTTCAAGCTAGACTGCCTCTTGGCTGACTGGCTACTTAGTAGCTGGCGAGGCGGGTCCGAGGGTCGAGTCAGCGGTGGTAACGGGCTTAACCGCAGGAGGAGGAGTCGTCTCCTCTGGTTTCCACACCAGCACTTTCTCCTTCACCGGCACCTTCACCATATCCGGCTTCTCATACGGAATCCCCCATGCAACATCGCACACATGATTCTTATCGTTACATCCCGCCTGTTTATGCTCCACATAATAGACCTTCAACATTCCCTCATTCCCAGCGTGCTTGTCTGGCGGCAAGAGGAGCAGTACTGGTTCCTTGCACTTGTGCTTTAGGCCAGCCTTGAGGGTCTCAATGATTTGGAGGCCAGAGAGGTGGTATTTAGTGCCCTCGAGGAAAACGCACACGCCGTCGTTCTCCTTGTGTGAAGGTAGTTGTGTGAAGATACCTTCTCTTATATAGAGACTGAAATAGACAATTGGTGGGCTGTATGTTTCAGTATGTTGAGATGAACCGCGGTTGAGGTACATTGGAATCTTTCAACCATGTTTCTTTTCCTTTCCAAATCAGAGCGCATTCTATCAAGCAATACCCTACGAAGCACGCAGACCACGTTCTACTAAAGCATTGGTAACACCACCAAAGAAAAGTGGGCGTCAGTCTCGTAGAACAACTGAACCGTTCCCAGGTCATCAAAGCACATGACTCCGTCGGACCGGCATCCATCCATTTAAAACCATGGCACCCTTTAGCGAGACCATAGACACATTCAAGCAGAAAGAAAATCAGGCTGTCACCACCTTCTATGCCTTTTCCATCCTCGGTTACATCCCCTTGACGGCATAGAAACCGGCAAAGACTGCGACCGCCTTCAACTGGATTCTGCGTGCGAACTCACCAAGTCGTACCACCGCTGGTGTATTTTACGATGCTTGCGACATTAATACAACAGTCAGTGTATTCCTGATAGTTAGCACGATGGTCTGAAAGTGGAAGAAAACTATGCCGTGGATTGGATACCGAATCAGCCATCTTGTGCGACCGTCCGTTCGAAGCGCAGATCAACAGATGTGCAGAGCAGATGCATGACTTTGGAGAGGGATATGACCCTTGAAATGATCTGAAACCAAAGAAATATCATAACAAAGGTGTGAAATGAGATTTCAATATAAAACGAAAACGATGGTAGACATAAAGCCCGTCTGCGGTACAGCGGCAGCACCTTGGCTCCAGCTTCTGCCTGATGATACCCAAAACATGCCTCAACTCAAGATAGATGTAACTTTTCATGAAAACCATCCAACTATTACTTCCAAATCCCTCTCAGCCCATCAGAAGACTCCCCCAACACAGGATCTCTCATCGGCAGACCCACTTCTTCCTTCCCCTCTCCACCTACACAGAAATCCCACTGGCCTCCCTTCGGATACGCTCCTAACATGACAAACCCCGATACATCAATCTCATCCAAGTCCACCCCACCAACCCCTCTCCCCTCTCCCGGCGTCAAAATCTCAAACGGCATCTCAGGCGTCGCATTGAAAGTCTTGTGCGACACACCGGCCGGAATGACAAAGACGTCTCCTGGCTTCGTATCGATTTCTACTCCACCATTTTCATGGTCTGCAGCGGGGTCTTCTGTGGCTGTCAAGTCCGACGCGCCGAATCGGACCCGGGCACGGCCGTTTAAGATGACCATTGTCTCGTGGGTTTTCGAGTGGTAATGCGCGCGCTGGGAGGTGGCGTAGCGGATGACCCATTGCGTTTCCCAGCCGTTGTCTTCGAAGATTTTGGAGGCTTTCGAAGGGGAGAGCTGAGATGTGTCCACTAGGCCAGGGTAGTGCAAGAGTGGGTAAGAGGAGTTGGGAGTCTGTGGGGTTGGACGGAGTTGGTACGCAATTGGTTTCGCCTCTTTCAGACCTGATTGTCGGGCCATATTGGTCTTGTGTAATGGTTGCAGAGCTGATATGCGTATGATACAAAATGGCCCTGAGGTTGCGGATGTTGTGTGTCGTTGAGGCGAGGTGTCGTCGACTGTATCTTTAGTCTCTAAAGCAGTTTGGCACTAATGATATGATGCTCCGCCACGCCTTATACTCTACAAGCAGATAGACTTTTCTCGGTACTTCACGTTGTATCCATCTCCCTGCTGAGGAACCAGAATATGAATCCCTGAAATGGTATAAACAAGGCCGGTTCCATTCTGTATGATCGCCAATCACGTCACTAAATCGCGTTGGATTCACAGTATTAGGACACAAGTTTGGGCAGGCTTTTCATCTCTTCCAGATTTATATACTGAAGAACCACAAACAGCGACAAGCATGTTGAATGCAAGCATGCGAAACTTCTCTAATCTAAGCTGTTGAGGACTTTACGTGTGATTGGAATTTTAAAACGCTCTGAAGCACCGCAAGCGGTGGCGACTGTGTTTTGGCAAGGCACTGTACGTTGAGTTGAGCACCTGTTCCTTTGAGAACAAACTGACGGAGAAATGAGGGACTGCAGGTATCCCTTTCGTCAGAGAAGTGTGACATTTGTCCAGCGCGAAAGCGCCCGTTGCTCAAATGACTCGACTTGACCGGCCTCTTCGCAATGCATTCAATACCCACTGCCTCAAAAGCAGACCGAAGTCGAGAGCGAATCTCATTACCCCTGTGCCTACGATCTTACTTCAGACACACGTTGACAGTCTTGAGATTTGGGAATCTTTCAGCGCGCGAGGATGCAATGTTCAATAGCTGCGGAATACCGTGCGTGAGTACCTTATTTAGGTGGAGGGATACACTCGGGTTGCAGCACTACAACCTAGGGTCAGCAACTCATATGCAGTAACGTATCAGGATAACATGCTGATACAGGAGGAAGTAACAGGTAGTGCAACAGCAGTGCTGCAGCACGGTATCAGTACTGTATCAGGAAACAGGATGAATCAAGTAACGCGTCAGGAAGAGATACCACGTTATGCCCCCGGGGCTGGCCCCCCTCCTTCCCCTAGTATATAAACAACGAGCTAGACACCCATAGAAATCAGAGTTCACATCAATTTCAACCTGAGTGATACGATGGATGGCGGTAGGAATTCCGAAAGACACGTAGGTATGACAGCGGAATCATCGGTCTCAAGCCAGGCTGGACCCATAAGGCCTTTGTAGCATGTTCAGAGAGTCTCTAATTTCTCGAAGGCTCTCAATGATCCCATGAAACAATCTCTGTTGTCGTTGCGTGTCATTCCATGATACCGTAGCTCAACCCTCAGATTCTTCAAAGTCCGTCGTTGAAAGTGGAGAAAATGTTTCAAAGGCCTCGGGCCAACCAATGCATCTTCTTCTCTTCTAGCTAGGGACACTCCAGGGATATCCTTTAGAGTATGTCCAAATGTCTCCAGAGCTTTACAGGAGCGTATCAATTGCTCTGTAGTTTGCTTTGTCAAGAAGGTGTCCTCCATATCGATGGTAGCTAGGTTCGACGGCGCAGGCTTTTTAGGACGCCACTCTCTTGATGCTTGGATGAATGTGCCGCTCAAGGTGCGGAGCGAGGGAACAGATAACAAACAACCGATGCATTTAGTGCACCGCCTTTTGGCCCAAGGCCGAGTAAGATCTTCTTTAGGCACCTTAAAGGGTTCGCTTTTAGGGTAAAGTCCCAGCGGAGGAATGGGGTGTTCGGCATCCCCAATACATGGAGTTCTTCGAGGCTAGGAAGGAGGCTAAGAAGTAGAATAACGTCTGCATCTGCATAGCCTTGATAATGCATTCGCAGCCAGTCCTTCACGATTCAGCTGGATATGCCCATGCGCTGCTCTCAGATACAGCGCACACCCGATAGTTACGATAATGACGATGACGTAAGGGGTTATCGTCATCGTCATTGTTGTATAGTTCATGGTCCGAAGGCTCGTCCACAATTGTCGCAAATTCCACCTTTCTTTCTACGAAGTTGCCGGTATTATCTTCATCTTCGATGTATAGGAATCGATTGTAGCTAACCTCCTCGATTCTAAAATACTCCGTCTTAATATCTCCGGCCTCGGCATCGGCGGCAATGAGGCCAATCTGTTTCGCCTTATTCACAAAGAACGTTTTATCCCTTTCGGAAGATTGCATCCCGTTCCTATGTTGTTTATGAAATGCTAGCTCTGTTCTCCACCTCCTGAGATCGACTCTCTTGACCAATTTTGCCAAGTCCGGGCGCTGTGCAATCGTTCTTAGAAACGGCCTGAACGAACGCTGATGGGTCGAGCTATCGCAGTTGGAGTAAGACTGGTATAGACGTGGAATTGCTACGGCGTTGAGATGGCGAGAAACGCACGAGGTACGCGAAAGCTCGGCCTGATCGGGAATATATGAGACTACCTCAGCGATGAGCTCGACGGGTAAATCTGGTGTGGGACCTCTGGAAGTTGAGAAGAGTGATGGATAGAGGAGGGAAGAGTCGGGTGAGGGAAAGGTTCACGCTCAGATGTAGCTGCTAGAGACGCTAACCTTATTATCTAGGCGTAGGTAGCACGAAAACACGTGAGCTACCACCTAAAGAGTATGACATCCCAAATAAAATCACTTAGCAAGCATCCTGTGGTTTCGAACCCTAGTCCTTTGGCAAGATAGTTGTGTAAAGCAAAAGGAAAGGATCCCAGAGGACATGGTAGCAGACGCGTATCCGAAGGGCGTCGCTAGTAGGCTATTTGGCAACTTTCCTATAATGCCCGAGGACTTACAAGGAACACATACATTGCAAAATCCTCATACCTAGTTGGGACCTCAAATAAGGTGGATGCCATTGACGAAGTGGTAGGCGCTTGAAGGTTGGTTCGAAGGAATGTTTCCGTGGTTTATTCGCCGTAGCGAGGAGCAAGCGAGCTATAAAAGGTCCTACCGAGCTCAACCTAGCTCTGGAATTATTTTATGACTCTACGGTGCATCCTCTAGTGCCTGCATCTTCGAGTGCATGGCCTCCCACTTCGCCCATTCGCCTTCAGGTATCCTTCCCTTCAGCGGTAGCCGACCGCCTTCCACAGTCCCCATTCCGAGGACCTGATATATAGCCTCTCTTATGCCCAATATGCCGAACTTCACAATGAACTCCCACGCCTGACTGACAACGAACTGCTGGGATTGAATCTCTTGCAACGCTTTCGGCTCAATTGGCCTCTTCTCTGCCAGATCCATTAGGCGAGCTACAGCCCTGGGGTAGTATGCAGCTAGGCCATCGATGACACCTGCGGCGCCGAAGAGAACGATAGGGCCGAGTTGTGATCCAATTCCACTGTATACGCGGAACTTCTCGTGGTCGATGCTGGGGTCGGTAGACACTTGCGTGTGGTAGGAGACGTTACCATGAGACCTGATATCATCTCGTTAGCTAACGTCTCTTCATTGTGAATAATTCGACAGTTCTTACAGCTTACACCCTACTATGTTCGGATGTTGTGCCAGATATGCATAAGTCTCCGGCGTCACCATGAGGTTGTTCGTCACGCCAGGGTAGTTGTAACTGCGCGAACTCCATTAGCCATCAACCCCACGATCAGCCACGAATCCTATCCTACATCAAGATAGGGATTGGGCTCTTATCTGCCACAACCGTAAACCACTCTTTTAGATTTTCCTGATTCACAGCAGCTCCAAAATACCCCGGTGCTAGCACAAGCCCCCATTGTGCACCCGCTTTCCCCAGATCTTCTAACCACTCGAGCACCTCATCGACCGAGTTGACCAGTATGCCGGCCATGATGGGGTAGTCTGGGAAACCGGCATCATTCATGCCCTTGCGCACGCCTGCGGTCAAGCTGATACGTTCGTCGCGGGAGAGGTGTATCGCCTCAGCGGTTGAGCCGAGGAGGACAAGGCCGCGGATGCCATTCTTCGCGAGGTGGACGCTGTGTTTGACCTGGGTGTCGATGTCGACGGCGGGTTGGAGGGATTGGCTGGAGGAAGCGGGTTTGAAGAAAGTCGGGGAGGGTACCCAGACGCCGGTTGGGGGGGTACGTGCGGTTGGCATGGTGTGGAAATTACTTTGACTTGATCAACGACACTTCCGCGATACGTTTCATCGATTCTACACGTACGAATTATCATCTTCCTATACTAAATGCATCTCGCGTTTTCGGTATATCTCCTCCGAAGACGTGCCGGGTTCGGGCCATACCGAAGACACGACTTGCTGGAAACTCACTACTACCCCGCGTGTCCCCACTACCGACATCAGTGTTGAAGGGAGCTCGGCCCAAAAATGGTCCTTGTTCAATTAGCTAGTTCTCGTTCGTGGCTAGAGACGAGGCTGTTTTAGATGTATGCACAAAGGTATAAATGAGAGGAAAGATGAGTATATTTTCGGTGCTGTGGCAGTCTTGCATAATGCTACGTTATTCTCTCAAGGAGCATGTTATGACGAGTAGCTCTATAGCTCGGTCAATCTAATACCGGGTCTTTAGCGGGTCCATCACAGAGCAACGTCCTGGACAGTGACGCTGTCCATCATACACCAATACTCTTTCTGCGACCGCCAAACTCGGCACTACTGGCAGTTTCTTTCTTCAAAAGATCTTATTTATCAAGTACAAAGAAATTAGAAAGACTTTTCTTCCACTTTATCCTTATAGAAATACACGTAATGGGTAAAATAGCGACCATAGAATACTTCCGCGTGCCCCCACGCTGGCTGTTCGTTAAAATCACCGACGATGCCGGAAACACTGGCTGGGGCGAAGCATCACTCGAAGGACATACCCAAGCAGTAGAAGGATGTCTCGATGCATGGATTGAGCGCTATATCGGATTTGAAGCGGAGTAAGTCCCTAACTTCCAACCTTGAGGTCATTCTGACACCCCAATCAGTGAGATCGAGCATATTTGGCAGATGTCATGGCGGACGAGCTTCTATAGGGGTGGCCCTGTTTTCATGAGTGCATTGGCTGGTATCGATATTGCGCTGTGGGACTTGAAGGGTAAGTGTTGATCAAGTCGCAATATGATGAATTTGGAACTGACTTCTTCTCAGCTAGGAAGCTCGGCGTACCCATCTACCAACTCCTCGGAGGCAAAGTCCGCGACAAACTCAAAGTCTACGCCTGGATTGGCGGCGACCGTCCAGGAGACATCGAGAAACAAGCGTAAGTTCCCCCACCGCCCCCCCGGCTCTCCTCCTAAAACACCATCACCACCCTATTCTATCTCACATCCCCAAGCCTGGCACGCAAAGCCCAGGGTTTCCTTTCCGTGAAAATGAACGGCACCGAAGACCTCGGCTGGCTTGATTCTCCCGCCGCGCTGAACGATTGCGTCGAGCGCCTCAAAGCCGTCAAAGCCCTCGGTATGGACGCCGGCATCGACTTCCACGGCCGCGTGCACAAACCCATGGCCAAGCAGCTTGCAAAAGCCCTCGAGCCCCATTTCCCCCTCTTCATCGAGGAACCGCTACTCTCCGAGCACATTGGCGGCATCACCCAAATCTCCCAGCTCACCGGCACGCCCATCGCGCTCGGCGAGCGGCTTCACAGTCGCTGGGACGTCCGCCCCTTCCTCGAAGCCGGCTGCGTGGATATCCTGCAGCCGGACATCAGCCACGTAGGCGGGATCTCAGAAATGAAGAAGATAGCGGCGATGTGCGAGACGTACGATGTGGCTGTGGCGCCGCACTGTCCGCTAGGGCCGATTGCGTTGGCGGCAAATGTGCAGGTGGATGCTGTGATGCCGAACTTTGCGATTCAAGAGATGAGTCTGGGGATCCATTACAATGCGGGGAGTCAGGATCTGACGAGTTATGTGAAGAATCCTGAGGTGTGGGATGTGAAGGATGGGTATATTGAGTTGTTGAAAGGGCCGGGGTTGGGGATTGAGGTTGATGAGGCGCAGGTGAGGAAGCTGTCGAAGAATGCGAAGGCTTGGGTGAGTCCGGGGTTTATTGGGCCGGGTGGGGAGGTTAGGGAGTGGTAGAGTTCTGGGTAGATAATGTGTAACGATGCCGAAATCCCTAGATTGGATGGATGGGGGCCCCTTTGAACCACTCCTGGAAATGCCCTATAGATGTTAGATCTTTGATTGGGTAGGAATAAGTCTACTGGTCCTTATTCGCTGGGTTTAGATAGACGTACAAATGCGAGCCTTGGGCACTCAAACGTATCCGGAGTCGGTTAGAAAATACTCAGAAAGGTTGCCTCCGTCGCGAACTACTTGGGAGTCTTGGTTCCAAAATGCTCTCACATTCTTTGTATCATCCCACACTCCTTTCACGTAGCACACCGCTCGCATGTCCATATGTTATAGGGCTGAAACAGCCCGAAAGCGTGACCATGCATAATGCCAAGAAGTTACAGATATGAAACCTGGGTGGAATAGACTTCCTCATTCAGAACTCTAGCAACGTCAATTCAGAAAGAAATTATCATTGCATTTGTCCGGCCGTTGCAATCGTGACAGGATCCTGATGGCAGCCTCGAAAATTCGCTCATGAAGACCGGTTTACCAATATAAGCTCCATCCGAGTCCTCCGACCCCCACTGCTATCCCGAGGCATACTGTCAAGGTGCCAAATTCGGGCCTGTTCGTCCTTCCGACATTACCAATGACACCCTGCCCATCACCATTACCGTTGCTCTTGCCACCATTGTTGTTCTGGCCAGGATTTCCCACGGTGCCTCCGCCGCCATTACCTCCGCCGCCATTACCTCCGCCTCCATTGTTATTAGTCCCGCTGATTGAGACCTCGCCACCAATGTACGGTTGGAAGGGAGGGTTGTTAATGCTCGTAAGTTGCTCAGCATCGCTAAGCAACTTGTTTTCCAGCAAAGGGCAGGCTACACGGCCGCCATTGGCGTTCACGGGCCCTGGAATTGGCTTGACGAGGATCTGCGTTGCTGGAGGAAATGCCACAATCCCATTTGTAACTGTGATTGGTAGGTTGAAGATGGTGTAGAAGTTTGACCCGTTCAGCCGGTAATTCTGGTGGATCGAGATGTTGTAGTCTCCTCTCGCAGTGCCCGTGGTATCTTGCCCGTCCCCAGTCAGGCAGTCGGGCCACTCAAAGTTGACATGCTTAACGGTGCTACCAGGTTCCTGGGCCATGATGTCGGCGAAGGGCGGGAGAGAGCCAGTTCCATTTGAAATGGTGAAGTTTTTCTGGGTGGAGTAGGATGTGAGGAAGAGAGTGATGTTGAAAATCTGCGTGAGAGGGTCGGCATTATTCGGTGGCTGCGGTAGACGGCCATCGCCTGAGATGTCGAGCGCAACTTGGAGAAAGTCCCCGCCTTCGGGGGTAAAAGGTTGAGGCTGTGATGGCTATCAGGACATCTTTCTTTTCGACTAATGGTGAAGGAGGCAGGCATACCGAATCGAGAATTGCAAGACCAGGCGTATAAATCTGTCCCCCGACGATGGTAAAGTTGCCATCGTTTGTAGCATAAGACAGACGACATAAGCAAAAAGAAGCAATGACAGCGCGGATAGGTAAAGAAGCAATACGACTGAACATCACGAACAGAGATCTCTCAAAGACCCGAAATTAGAGGGATATCCGGCTGTTCAAGAAAATGAGATGGGCTCGACGGGAGAACATCGATGGAGCAACCTGCTCGTGCATGAAGTTTGTCCATCGCATGATGGTCCAGTGGTGCGGCGGCCTGGGTAGCCTCTCGGTCTCTATGGCATATATCACTTTGTCCGGGGGTATATCTGAAAACAGGTTGTTGGGACTGAGGGGTGATACCCATTGCGAGTGATCGACGCGAGATGCCCTCAGGTGTCGGAGGTTGACGGTGACGAGTTTGAGGCAAGGATAGGGGCCGGGGTGCAAGATATCTAGATCATGTGATTTCAATTTGGGGGCTAGTGCACAGACTCCGGTTGTTGATTCCTCCGAGGTGATTGGAATCACCCGCAGCCTGGCACGCCTGGTAGGTAATGAGATTCTCAGCCTTCTTGCGAGACGTTCGGTATGAACCTCTCCTTCTTTCAACTCAACAACTAGAAACCATGTTTGCCCCTTTCAGAAGCCAGTCAAGCAACCATTCAGCATGGAAACCGGAGCCTACATACCGGGGTACATACAGCATACCTTCCACATGTCCAGTGATAATGGGCTTATGCGTGTGGACGGCCGTCCACCCTAACTTGCCGGAGCATGGCAAACTTTCCAGTCAACGATGGCGAAGATTTGGATGGCTTTTTGCAGGCCTGCTAGCTCCCGAGATAGTGGGAGTCGAAACTCCATGCGTTCCTTTATTCTTCAGGCTGATACAATATCAGGTCACGTTTACTGCTTTTCGGGAGCGACGAGAAGCTCTTGGTATCTGCAACTACATGCACAATCTCCAGGGGCTGGAACCTTTAGTTCCACTTCATAAGAACATTTTCAATGACATGAAAAGAATGAGGGGGAGAGGAGATGTATCGTCTGTAGATATCATCGAGGTAGGCAGCGAACGTTGCAGCAAGCTTGCTTCCCTTTTCAGCCCACCAGCATATGTCTAGCTGGCAACATCCATTCCATTTCTGCTTCGTTTCGTTGTGTAAGATCTTCTTGGTAGTTGTTGCCATCTCAACTAAGTCTTATTGTGCATTGCCTAATTCAGCCTTGCGTATGTCCTTGTCTTACCCAAATGTTAGATATAGGAAGATCTTCCTAGCCTCGAAATCTCTTTGTACCATGAGAAGCACCTCTGGACATTAGTCCACGGCTTCTACGTTATAATGGGTGGATTGCAATGGACGCCAGCGATGCTAAGCAGCCGTTCCTTCCAAATGGTCTCCAACACGTCGTTCTCACACAAGATGGCCTTCGACTTGTCGTACAGATGGAACCGCGGCTTATTCTAGATATCTCGAAAGAAGACATTGAAGATAAAGAGAAAGCAAATGGCCTGGCCAAATTCATCGTATGCTTTCAGGCGTTATGGTTCTGCATTGTCTGTATTGCGCGAGTAGCTCAAGGCCTTCAGATCAGTATACTGGAACTCAACGTCTTCGCGCATGCAATTTGCACGCTACTTATCTACCTGCTTTGGTGGGATAAGCCGCTGGATTTTCAAGAGCCCACCTTGATCAGAGGAGAAGATGCTCATCCCATCTGTGCCTTTTTCTCTGTGATGAAGGGTAGTCTAGGTGACGATGCTTTGCCTTGGCAAAAAGCTGTCTCTGGCAACTTCTCAGATAAGGAGATCATAGTACTGTCAGGATGGGGCAGGACGAGCAACAACGCCAGCATAGAGTCTGATACGGCCGTCTTGGTTGAAGCTGTACACACGGACGCTGTAGGACCGGGCTCAACCCTGAGACTTCCACCAGACCACGCCTATTATAACATCCGAGTTTCATTTCGCTATTGTGACCATCCCCAGGGAACTTACATTGAGCTAGATGAGATACGCTCTCGTTTATGGAGGCTAGCATCAGAGGCGTTACAAAAATGTCCGAACTCGAACCTCAGAATTAGTTCACGGAGCGTGACGTATATCGTAGATCGAAGGAGACCTGAGGTATCCACAGTGTCCATTGATGGAGAGCGGCCGTCTTTTGCCGTGAAGAGACGTCTCAGATCCGACTTGTTTAAGAACCTCATCCTCGAAGCAGGCCACACACTTGAGATTGCATCAACGCTCGCTGGATTTATATATGGTGGGCTGCACAGTTTGGCATGGACAGCACCTTTTGCATCTCATACGCACCGAATATTATGGCAAATCTCGGGCGTGGCAATTGCCGCTACTGGTCCAGCTGCGATTGCGATATCAGTCGCCTCTCAAAAGTCCTATTATTCAGGCCGCTCGCGTGCAACAATGCATGAGGACGCACTTCTAAGGTTGTCGGATGGCCTGCTTCTGTTATCCATACCCATTTCTTTCCTGTATCTCTTTTCAAGGACATACTTAGTTGTCGAATGCTTCCTCAACATTGCAAGACTCCCGGAAGGAGTGTATAGGCAACCAAACTGGTCCTAGTAGAATATGTTCCGCATATTGGTTGATTGTTGTCCACTTCATAACTCGAACCGCTCCTTTTGTTTCTCAAGCCGATCCATCGACGCCGATGAGAGTGTTGTTCTCCATCTTCGTCACAGGACGTTGCCGGGAAGAGGAGTCAAATATTCTACGGAGAGAAAACCGCTCGCCCCACCTTTCTGCGGGGCTTTAACGACTCTCACGATGCAGCTCATCGCTGTTTATGTTTGAACGAAGCTCCATGTATCCGAGATACTCTCACGGCGAGACTCCAATTTCCTCCTGAAACGACTTTCTCATTCTTCTATCAAATTCTCCTTCTACCAATATAGCTTTCAACATACCCCATCATCCCCAAAATGGTCCCCACCGACCCACCCTCCCGTCCGCCTTTCTCCTCTCTCCCCCTCGACCCTTCAGGCCCAGCAGGCAATGCGTGGGGCCTATACGGCCCCGAAGACGCTCTCGGCGCACTGAACATGCTCACGCCCGCAGTCGTAGCCGCGGCCGCAACTGAGATCAAAACTGGAGAGCGGGTAAGCCTTGATTGGCACCTCAACAAGCCGAGCCACCCAAGCTTTGGCCGGAGCCCGTTTGAGTGGAAGCTGGTGAACCGGAGTAAAGTATGCAGCGCTCTTTGCTGGTGTGGCATGTGTATGGGGGGATTGGTGGGACAGTGTTGACAGTACAAAGCCAGACGGCGAGAAGCGCACAGTGAATGACGATGTATTGACTTTCAATACCCAATGTAGCAGCCAGTGGGATGGGTTCAGACACTACGGTGAGTCTTTCTTCATGGCAAGAGATATCGAGGAATTAGAAAAGAATTGACCTCGTGACTGCTCACTGCAGGGTACCAAAAGGCCAAACGGTACTACAACGGCCACGTGCAAGAGGAATTAGATGATCCGAACGTGATAGGCATAGACGGTAAACCAATCTCAACTTCTCATCTCCATCTCAACCCTTTGACTCTATTTCAACCTTCACTATCATCTCAACCTCTTCCCTCCACCTCAAGCCTCTACCCCGCCCCCTTCCCCCCAAGATCAATTTGAACAAGCCCCAAACTCACCCCCTCCCAGCCTGGGTCTCCGCCGGCGGCATCACAACCCGCGGCATCCTCCTCGACTACCCCCGCTTCTGCACCGCCCACTCCCTCACCCTCTCCCCGCTCACCAGCACCTCCATCCCCTTCGCCCACATTCAAGCCATGCTCGCCGAAACCCACACCGTCCCCCGCGCTGGCGACATCCTCCTCCTCCGCTCCGGCTTCACCCTCGCCTACGAATCCCTCCCCCCCGATGACCAAAACGCGCTCGCCACCCGCCCCTCCCCCGACTTCATCGGCCTTGAGCCCTCCCTCGCCGTGCTGCGCTGGATCTGGGAAAGCGGGTTCTGCGCGGTGGCTTCCGACGCGCCGTCGTTTGAGCGCGCGCCGATTGCGGGGCCGCACACGGCTGCGGGGGGCGTGTGGAAAGGGGAGAGCTTTGAGGAGGAGATGCAGGGCGGGGGGTTGTTGCATCAGTGGTTGCTGGCTGGGTGGGGGGTGCCCATTGGGGAGCTGTTTGATCTGGAGGAGCTGGGGCGGGTGTGTGCGGAGAAGGGGCGGTGGAGCTTTTTTGTGGCGAGTGTGCCGTTGAAAGTGCCCGGCGGGGTGGCGAGCCCGCCGAATGCGGTGGCGATATTTTAGGGGTGGGGAAAAGGGGTGGTTCATGTTGTTGCGAAAGGGGAAGGGTGAGTAGATAGAGGGGTATATTTTGCTGTTAAGATGAAAAGACATGGAAATGGGGTCAAGATTTTCATAGTTTTGTTAGCAGTGGCTGGGTTAGATCTGTGTATACAGGTGGCACACAGAGCTTCAGCTACAGTACCAGAACAGTTCGAAGTGGAAGTTCGGGGATCGTATTGGTATCAGGTAGTTCGACATGGAGGGCGCGCATCGAGACCAGCTGACTATTCGTCTTCGTCCGGATCATACATATCCAACCCTTGGAAGACAGCCTGGGGTGGTTGCGTTGGCCTTGCACCAGACACATACGCGCTTTCGCGTCGTCGCGCCTCGGCCTCCCTCTCTTGTTGCTCCTGTTTCTCGCGCTCCACCTCTTCGGCTCGTCTCTTATCCTCGGCCTCCTGCTCGGCAGGCCCCAGCACTGTCGCTGGATCCTGGCCTCGATTGATCATGCCCTGGATATGGCCAAGTGCACCTCCCCGGATTATATTGTCAGTGGGCCACGGCATGAATGGTGCTCGCGATGCCTCCTCTAACCAGTCCTTTTGCGCTTGTGTCAAGGTAGACTGAGCCTTCCCGTCGCCCTTTTCCTTTGCAGGGTCATCGTTTGCGCCCCGATTCGCTGGTGTGCCCACTCCATTGGACATGTTGACGTCGGCCTGATCTGTTTGTTCCGGAGGCGCAACCTCTTTTGCAGGTGGTGGGCGAATTGCTGATGGTGCTGTGTATTTAGCTAGATTTTTTGCGAACTGCAGCACTTCGTCGAAGGGCACATGGCGCGACGAAGCTGGGAAGGTGGTTGCGGGCGTAGCTAGGAGCTCCTTGCGCAAGTCGGCGAGGGCTGTGAGAGAGCCTTTCAGCTGTCCCTCTAAAGAAGTGACTGTCTGGCGGAGGGAGAGAATGCGAGCATAGTTGGCCTGGTGGACTGCTACTGCATAGCTTGTCAGATCTGTGTACAGAACATCGAAGGCGGCTCACATTGCTCCAGGCCCTTGCTCAATTCATCGTCGGCTGCTACGAGGTTAACGGCGGCCTGGGTTGAGGGATTGTAGGATGTAATTGAGTCTATCAGGGTGTTGAGGGCGGTTTCGACGCGCTGGAACTGCGCCTGGAGAATAGCATCCATGGTGGAGCGCGCAGTTCTGGGGGAGAAGTGGTGAGGTGAAGCTCAAAGAAGTTGAAGCAGTCGGGGGAGCACGATGTAGGTGCGACCTGGCTATACTGCGTGGCGCTACTGTGACACAGCACATGGATCTGATGGATCTGATGTGCGTGCCAGATGATAGATCTAACGTCCCGAAGGCACAAGTGCTGTACCGCAAGACCAGCCGCTTTCTTATTGCTATTGCGATGTTTGAAGAGCATTGGAACCCCGGCGTCTCAGCTGGCAGCCAACGGGCGGCCGAATCCGATGCCGGGCTATATTTGGTCTCGAACGCCCCAGGGCCGCCGGACGACTGCCTCCCTTCTAACCAAGAGTTGACGTCCCTAAACGCCTGCCCTTCACGCCCAGCGCGCGCATTCTTCGACCCTCGATACCGCCCCCAAGATCTGCCCCTTCTGCCTATTCACCATCCTAGAACACCCCTCTCGACCGTTTTGCGCCTCCTCGCAGCCACGGTACCTAAGTACACTGCCCACTGCCCGTCTGGCCGCGCCCCGCGCCCCTCCATTCTCCCCACCAGCTGCTACCTATCTCTGCGATTACTTACCCTCGAGAGCCCGCGCCTCCCACCACCGACTCTGCGCCTGCACACGAACTCGCCTGATCGCTTGTACCGGTATACTGCTGTGGATTGCTCTCCAGACGCGCTATGGGGAAATCGTAAGTTGCGCTCTCTTTTCCGTTCGACGTCGCCTAGGGCTGCGGAGGAGGCCTTTTTTGCCGCCTTGCCAGCCGTTCTATCACCATTTGGCGACTTCTTCGCGGCCGCCATGGAGGAAGCCAGCGCCCCCCGCCTCCGACTGTCACTGCCCTCACTTTCGCAGCGCTCGGCCTCGCTGCTCAGACATAATGCGCGCCCCGCTCCACGCCCTCGACACTCTGCCCCGTCACGTCTCGAACCTACAATCGCTACAACGACTACGACGTTAGCACTATGTCTCCGGAACACACTCCTCTCGGTGACAAGTATGTGCCGATGCTCTCTCAGGAGCATGCGTTGGTGAACCATGCCAGACATCGACCGCTTCACATACCTCAGCCCGGGGAACCCGGCTACGACGACTATATCTCCAAGCGCTATGTGGCCCTGGAAATCGGAGTGAAGGCCTTGGAGCGCCTGTTTCTATTGTACACCGGAGACTTGGGCGCGTGTGATCACAAAGAATGGCTGGCTGACTGTGCCGTCTCATAGGCAGAGCAAGCTCTCTCAACAGGAGCTCGCTGATCTCCAGAAAGCGACACACTTCGACAAGAAGGAACTGCAACAATGGTACAAGGGTAAACCGCCCCGCGAGAGTGGTTTTGCGTTGGGCAATTGCTAATCACCACGTGGACTTCATAGGTTTCTTGAAGGATTGCCCCTCCGGCATGCTCACCAAGGAGGAGTTTCAAAAGATCTACAAACAGTTCTTCCCATTCGGCGACCCGTCTTCATTCGCAGATTATGTCTTTAACGTCTTCGACGCGGATAAATCGGGCACAATTGACTTCAAGGAGTTCATCTGCGCACTGAGCGTTACCAGCCGAGGGAAGATGGAGGACAAGCTGGACTGGGCATTCCAGTTATACGACATCGATGGCGATGGGAAGATCAGCTATGAGGAGATGCTGGCTATCGTGGAGGCGATCTACAAGATGGTGCGTTCTCAAGCTTGTTTTTACTCGGGCACTTCTAACAATTATTGCAGGTCGGGTCCATGGTCAAGCTCCCCGAAGACGAAGACACGCCCGAGAAGCGCGTGCGCAAGATCTTCCGCATGATGGACAAGGACGAGAACGGAAGCCTGGACATGGCCGAGTTCAAGGAGGGCTCCAAGAGGGACGAGACAATCGTTTCGGCACTGTCGCTGTACGACGGGCTTGTCTAGCGCCTCTTCTCCTTCGTCTTTAGTCCTACCTGGTGTTCGTGGGGTCATGATATCAAACAGTGCATGGGTTTCCTTTGGTCTTAGCATGCAGGGGGTGGTTATTGCTTCCGAGCGTCACAATTGGGGATACATCCGTCGATGAACATGAGCGTAGTAGCTGGAGTCTCTGCAAGTGTACGATTCTGAAGGCGCGGAAATGGAATTGCCAGAAGAACGTCTGCATTGACTGCTGTGAAGACTGACGTGACCTCGAGCTAGTAAATCTGCCTTGCCAAGAAGGATCGTCAGCCACGCCAGGTTGAGGTGAGAGATGAAGCGAACGTTCCGGACAGCTTGCCTGTAACAATTTATTTATCGACCTCCCTCCATTCACCATAAACTCTGCATCGACCACGAGCCCACCCACAGATTCTCCATTGCACAGCCTGTCCAAGATTGGGAGCTGGTAACTGTAGACCGGATTCCAGCCCTCGAGGGCGACGTGCGCGTATTAGCGGAAGTCCCAACACAGCCCTGGAGCTCATTGCACCGGCGTCAGACAAACTGCAGCAGTCCAGAAACACCGCGTCCCGACTACACACCTCTCCATAAGCCTCACAATGCGGATATACGACCTCCCCTCGTGGGGAGCGCTCTCGACGCTCCTCCTACTCGCCCCTTCGCCCTCCTCCGCCTTCTACTTCCCCGGCATGGCACCGACATCGTACAAAGAGGGCGACAAAGTCCCCATGTACGTGAACCACCTCACGCCGGCCGACTCGTCGGTAGACCGCAAGCTGCGGTCGGTCTTCTCATTCGACTACTACCACCCGCCGTTCCACTTCTGCCAGCCTGAGGGCGGGCCAAAATACATTCGCGAGTCGCTAGGCAGCATACTGTTCGGGGATCGCATACAAACATCTCCATTCGTGCTGCATATGGGGAAGAATGAGTCTTGCAAGGCCATGTGCAAGGAGCAGACATTTTCGCCAAGGGATGCGGTGTTTGTGAACAGCAGGATATACCAGGGCTACGACCTCAACTGGTTGATTGATGGGCTGCCAGCAGCGCAGCTCTTGAAAGACCCAGACTCGGATAAGGAGTTTTACAGCCCCGGGTTTGCGCTGGGATCTGTTGCGGATAATCAGCCGATTTTGAACAATCACTACGATATCGTGATTGACTACCATGAGGCTGGGAAGAATAATTTCAGGGTTGTGGGGGTCCTAGTAGACCCTTACTCCATCAAAGGCTCGAAATTTGTGGATATTGACAAGGGCGAATGCCCCGGCCTTGAATCAGGGGGAGGCACCACTCCCTTGACTTTATCAGAAGAGAAGGACACAGGAGTTACGTACACCTACAGCGTTTACTGGAGGCTTTCTCCGACACCGTTCGCTACTCGCTGGGACAAATACCTCCATGTCTACGATCCCAAGATCCACTGGTTCTCCCTGATCAACTCTGCCGTCATTGTCACGTTCCTGATTGGAATGGTCAGCACGATTCTCATCCGGACCCTGAGGAAGGACATCGCGAGATACAACCGATTGGATCAGTTTGCGCTAGATGATTTTGGTAGCACAAGTGCGGTCGAAGATGGAGTGCAAGAAGACTCTGGTTGGAAGCTGGTTCATGGAGACGTCTTCCGCTCTCCAACAAACCCCCTATTCCTCAGTATCATGCTTGGCAATGGAGCGCAACTTTTCATGATGGCTGGGCTAACGATTGGTGAGTATTACAAAATGATATGGAAGCACTTTGCTAACAACGTGCAGCATTCGCTCTCCTCGGCTTCCTCTCCCCGTCCAACCGCGGCTCTCTTGCGACTGTCATGATCATCTTCTACACCGTCTTCGGTTTCATTGGAGGCTACGTCTCCTCACGTCTCTACAAGTTCTTTGGCGGCGAAAAATGGAAGCAAAACTTCGCCTACACCCCTTTTGCGCTTCCCGGCCTCGTCTTCGCCGTCTTCTTCCTCCTCAACCTCTTCGTCTGGGCACGCGCCTCCTCCGGCGCCGTCCCCTTCTCAACAATGCTCGTCATCGTTCTCATCTGGTTCCTGATCTCCGTCCCTCTCTCCCTCGCCGGCTCTTGGCTCGGCTTCAAACAACCCGCTATCGAACCCCCTGTCCGCACGAACCAAATCCCCCGCCAAATCCCACCCAGCGGTGGCTACCTCCGCGCCTTCCCAAGCATGGCCCTCGCCGGAGTCCTCCCCTTCGGCGCCATCTTCGTCGAGCTCTACTTCATCATGAACTCGATCTGGTTCAGCAAGGTCTACTACATGTTCGGCTTCCTCTTTATCTGCTACGGGCTCATGATCATGACGTGTGCGGCGGTGACGGTACTGATGATTTACTTCTTGCTCTGTGCCGAGAACTATCATTGGCAGTGGCGGAGCTTCTGCACAGCGGGCGCGAGCGCGGCGTATGTGTTCCTGGCTGCGATTCTGTACTGGGTGAAGGATCTGAGCTTTGGGAGCTGGACGAGTGGGGTGTTGTATCTGGGGTATAGCGCGTTGCTTAGTGTGCTGTTTTTCGTGCTTACGGGTGAGTTTTTCTCAATACCAGCGACCAAATTCTTTGAATGGTGACTGACATGTATCAGGTACAATCGGCTTCTTCGCCTCCTGGCTCTTCGTCCTCAAGATCTACAAATCCATCAAGGTCGACTGAACTCTTACTTCCACGAATTACAGCCAGATTGAAAATAGCAGCAAAGCAAGCAAGCATGCAATTAGCAGCAAGCGGATATCCAACAAGCACGATACAGCAGAGCGTTGTTTTTGGTCAACAGAGGAACACAAACTTGTACCTTTTTTGTATATTTAGACCGGCTCTAATCGCCCACACGCTGGCAGAGGGGAGTCGTCTGGAACACTTGAATTTCTTCCGGTTTTTGTTGGCATGGCGTTGGTCGATGCATGGCATGACATGGCTAAGCTAAAACATATCGTGTATTAGGAATGAAATATATTCATGCAAGTCTTTTCGGTGATTGTAAGGGGTGGAGCTGAGTTGTGTAGGTTGTGGAATTGCGTGGTTTAGATGCGTGGTTGATTGGCTTGCTGCTTTGTGGCTGCGAAATGCCTTTTCGACTTCACGCTTTAACTTACTTCTTAAAAAGCTATGTTAAAGTGCTTGAAGTCAGACGGAAACTCACCTTATACCGCTTTCCCCCTCCCCCCCCCCCCTTTCCGCCCGGTCAACGCCGTATCTAACTCTTTTGTTGGCAAAATTACATCCGGCTCGACTTCGGCTCACTCGCTTGCTTAGTAATGTAGCAAGTTGGAGTCCTAAATATAATTAGCAATGTGGAGGCGTGGGCGATATCGCATTCAAAAAATGCCTGTAGAGCGCAGGATGTTTAGTATATGCGGTGTTTAGCGTTAGTTTAACATAAATGCTCTATATCTCGCTAGTTAAAGGTAAGAGGGGTTAAGGAGATAGCGGCTAACATCAGAAATGCGCGTGTGTGAGTGATTAGTGTTTTTGGTATCTACTTTCGCGTTTATTCTGCTTTAACAAGCCTGATTTTTACGTGGATTTTGCTCAAAGGCGGCAATGCTGGTGGAAAGTCACCCCCCTTCTCCCCCCAAACTCTGAACCCCGGCCGCTGTTTTTGCAGCTTGCTAGCCTCTCTCTCCAGCACTCTCTGAAATGGCCTTCGTCGTCTATCGTCGTCGGCTGCTGCCCCCTCCATCCCCGCCCTCCTCCGCTACTACTACTACAGCGGCAGCCGCACCTCCAAAACCAGCAAAGTTAGCAAGTCCAGCCGCTCCGCACAAGTCCAGCGAGCCTAGCTCCTTGGACATCCCCAGCACCCCGCGACCGTACTTGAACGGCAAAGCGCTCGACTTGCTCGCTAAGTATATGGGTACTGGCGCCATGGGCCTGTCGAAACTGAAGTTTTATAGCTTGGATAAGCATTTAGAGCTAGGCAGTATTCGGCAAAGATTGGGCAGGCGGAGCAGTAGAGTAACAGTAAGGGGAAGGAGGGCTACAAAGACGCGTAGTGAGCTGTCGAGGTAACTAATCATCTTGAATGGAGACTATTCCATGTTAGCATGGTCTAACGAGACCCCGAACGCGGAACTTACACGAAATAGTCTCCTCATCCAGATCGAAGACTGTCGGCAAATGATTCAAAAACGCTGTCCCAAGCACCACGTAGTCTCCCTCCAACTCATCGCGCACCTCGTTATGAGCCCAGCTGGTAAAAGGGATGACGCATCGCTCCCCTCCATATGGGCTATGTACCCTGACCGTGTACTGCCATGGAGCCAGCGTGGATTCCCCTTGCTCTCCAAACACGAACGTGAGATTAGGAAGTTCCGATAGGCGTTCGCAAGGTGGATCGGAGAGTACTTCGTCGTCGATACCAAGAGTATCTAGGATGACTCTTGCAATGTCGAACGGGAAGGAGATGAAGTCAAAAGAGTTGGAGAAGACCGCTGTAACACCCTGAAGGTCAACATCGAACAGGTGGTGAGATTTTCCATCGAACTGGAGTGACATGGCAGAGACGCTTGCTTGCCATCCCGATGAAGCCAGAAATGAGAGCGTGGTTTGCTCCTCCGAAACGAAAAGTTTTATTTGTCAGCGGGAGCTTAATGGTGGGCTTTGGCTGGTAATCGTTAATTCTTCCCAGTATCAATTCTCCAACTTCGTTGCTGGTTCGTGGAAGGCGCAGCGAGAAGACATTGTGGTCGAGCAACCCTTGATCAATCATGTTTCGGAGCGGCTAGTTCTGGTACCTAGACTCTAGGTATCGTCCGGGAGATCGAAAGCGGGTCAGACTAAGTCCGCTGTCCAGTGGTGCCCAGTCATCTCCGTACATAGATCTCCAATCAACAGCTGCTTCGAACATTTGATTTGTAATGCGGATGCTGCCGATGCTGAGCGTGTCCTGGGCGAGATAGCCCGAGGTTCCCAGGCCTCGTAGTCAATTGCCGTAAAGGCGATGGTTGCGATGTATGTTGAGGACTGACTGGAATTGAATTTGTGGAAAGGGACGCAGTCTCTGTCGGGATCCAGCATGCATGGTGCAGATGGCACAAACATGTCCGCCCAGTTGATGTCAATGCGAGCGATGAAGGGTTGAGGAGGTGTTCCAAGGGTCACATTGCTCGTGAATAGAAGATGGTAGATTACATTACATTCATGCAGGGGGCCCGCGGCGGCTGGATATGAACCAGTCGCACCATGCAGTACTTTTTGAGCTTGACCATTCGCGAGCCACCTCCGCGTATCAGATATTCCCTATTGCGGGTCGTTAGAGTCGGAGAGATGTCATCTCAATCGCCAAATATGAGGCACAAACCTGGGAGATGTGCTGTCTAGACTGCTCTTTGGCGATGGGGAAACACGGTAGCGCGAAAACGATAGCATTTCGATAGAGGGGTAGCCTGACAGTGACGGCACTCGTTGAAAGAACAAAAAGCAAGAGACACAGAGCCTCAAAGAGAAGCGCAGCAGATGGTGAGATTCCCATCGTTGAGCACTATCCTAGTGATACGACAGAGAGAGGATTTAAGACGTACATAGCGAGGAAAGTGAAGGTAAGCAGGCGATGATAAGGCAACGAGAAAGCGATGAGAGAGGCGTAGTGCGGCACGGTCTGTCAAGGCTAGAGTGCAGAATACCAGCCAATGCACATATGGCGCCAAGAGTATGTGCTGTGTAACATGCCAATGTTGATCAGGGTGCGGTCTGCACACAGTCGTAAGAGTCCAGGTGTCATAGGAGGCTTACTGGCGACGGCTAGGCTACCGAGCACGTGTTCTAGCCGCAAACTAGATAGATGCGCAGACATGCTGCGCTCGAAGTTTGCGGGCAGTGGATGAGTTAAGTACTTGGTACGATGAAGAGCAAGAGGGGAGAGGTTAGAGATAAATATGGCTAAGCTCGCACCCCTGCACGTGCGAGGGTACGAGGTACCGCTTTATTAGCGTTGCTAATCCGCGAGTATGGCGGCCGCCAGCGACATCACTTTATCGAAACGAGACATGCGACGTCTGCTTAGGGCTGAAGTTATGCTTGCTTAGTCATGGCTCAGTTCTTCAAAAGCGGAAATGGACTTTGGTGGGGCTTAACTTACGCTAAAAGCTCCGTAATGTGAAGTTTCGGGGACTCTTGGACCGCGATATAGGGCTGAGTTTACGTAATCTCCCACCGCCCGGCAATAAAAAGATATTCTGCCAACTCCAAACCAGTTCACGTCACCCCCACCAAAGCTCCAGCGGTCTCCCACCGCAAACAACCAACAAGATGAGCAAATTCGGCACCTTGGTCATGGCAAGCTCCCCTCTTCTCCCGCTTTCCCCTCCGATTCTGACCCTCATCAGGGCCCCGCCGGCGCCGGCAAATCCACCTTCTGCACCGCCCTAATCCAACACCTCCAAAACAACAAACGCCCCTGCTACTACGTCAACCTCGATCCCGCCGCCGAAGACTTCTCTTTCGCGCCCGACATCGACATTAAAGACCTCATCTCCCTCTCTGACGTCATGGAAGAAATGGGGCTCGGCCCCAATGGCGGGCTCATATACTGCTTCGAGTTCCTACTCGAGAACCTCGATTTCCTGACGGAACCCCTAGACCTGGTCACGGAGGAATATCTGATTGTGTTCGATATGCCCGGGCAGATTGAGCTGTATACGCATGTCCCCATCCTACCGAAATTGGTGCAGGTTCTCATGGGCGGGAGTCTGAATATCAGGATGTGCGCGGCGTATCTACTGGAGAGCACGTTTATCATCGATAGACCGAAGTTCTTCGCCGGCACGCTGAGTGCCATGTCCGCGATGATGATGCTCGAGATGCCGCATATCAATATTCTCTCCAAGATGGATCTCGTCAAGGGCCAGATACCACGGCGGGATCTGAAGCGCTTCATCGACCCGGATGCGGGGCTAATCGACGACGACGAGGCGCGCCATGTCGAAGAGGAGAAGCCCGGCACGAGTCGGAATAGTGACCCCGCTGCTGTGGAGAACGTGATGGGTGGAAGCTCGTTTCATCAGCTGAACAAGGCGGTTGCGAATCTCATAGATGATTTCAGCATGGTATCGTTTCTACAGTTGGATGTGCAGAGCGAGGATAGTGTTGGTGCGGTGCTGAGCTATATCGATGACGCAATACAGTACCATGAAGCGCAAGAGCCGAGGGAGCCGGTGGAGGATGAGGCGGATGCGAGGATGGAGGATTGAACTGGCTACTTTGCTGCAAGTGGGCATTTATGGGAGTTCTTTGTTGGGCATTTCGGGCGCTTGGTTGGTCTTTATACCCTGGATTCACGATTGAGATCTTAGAATCTTGGACTTTGTGCGGTAGAGGTGCCAAAGAAGGTTGGGTAACGTGTTGGAAGCATGCTGGAAAAGGCTACTTAAACGGAACCATATGCTAGGCGTTCTAATAAAATCTTCTGGAACTACGAAGAACAGGGCAAAATTCAAAGCCTCTCGCTACGAACCTACTAGTGGTCTTTGGTGAGGTAGGACTGTTCGATGTGGGTTTCCTCTCAATAAAGAAAACCAATTCGATTTCCTCAGATCTTCTCTTTATATCTTCCAAGCCTCGCAGCCTGTATCCACGCCCAAATCTTCGCTTCTCGTGACACCGTCTATTCGTACCACATCTCACAGTGAGGCTAGGCCACTACGGCATTCACGAATGACATCGTGGTGGCTTGACAGCTGAACGACTACCCAGCAGGTCCCCTTGAACAAAAAGTAGCGGTCCACGAATCTGTCACTCTATCATAAAATCTCCTATGCCTTAGATCCGTACTCCCTCTAGGCTGATGTACACTCGCTTAGCACCGCTTGAGATCCTTGGTCCACCAGTAAAAGTTATCAAGCTACAGGAATTTGCAAGCATGGTACGTTGCCGGGCCATCTGAGACGGTGCTACACTACCACTTTATGTGCAACGGAGCCTGTCTAAGGGGGGGGGGGCGAGTACGGGGTTGGAGTGGCCGAAAATGACGGCGAATTCGATAAAGAAGACGAGTGAGTGTTTCTTTGATCAGCATGTTTTGCTTGAGTTTCGGATTTTTGTTTCTGTTCTCCGGGCACCGACTAAACGCGACTCCAATGGCTTCACCATCAAGCACAGTTAGTAGCGGTAGCAGTAAGGGCGGCCTTAGCACTGGCGCTATTACTGGTATCGTTGTCAGTGCTATATACAGTATCACTGTGAGGCTATCACTGCATATCTACGGTGTGTCCGGCATAAGAAGAAAATGCAAGTCGTGGAGACGCAGACTGGGTGTGTCGATACGCTAGGGAGTGATGAGGCGGTGCCGAAGGCCTGGGGGAGGTAACACCTGGATGCAAGTGGATCCTGAATTAGTTCTGAGGTTGAAATACCTACCACGTCCAATTTCTAGCCCTGTTAGATGGGGCTTCGTCCTTTGAGTAACAAAATTACTGCAGAGCATTGCGGCCGTCTTCGTTTTCGCGTCTAAGCTAAAGTAGCATGATATTGGCTCCTCTATGAATCCGGCCTATCTCGCCCACTTTCCAGTTCTACTCGTCGAGATTTAAATCTCTAATTACTTGCGTAGGTGATAGAGAGCTCACCACAGGTTCGTTAAAACAGATGCCTGTGGTCATGTGAAACAGCTCTATCTATTCACGCTTGGTGAATCCGCGCCTTCTCCTAATTCAAGAATGGGGCGCGGGCGTGAGGGGCTAATAGGTAGGCTGCGAAGATTATGGACGAATTACCATTGAAGAGTTTCGAAACTGAACGGAGGGCGAGATATCTTAATGCGGTCAGCGCGGCTCGTATCCTCGCATTGATGCTCGGCTTCACGATCGTAAGAGGGAACTCAGTGCAGGATCTTGTGGATCGAATTGGGCATAATCGCATATTGAGAGACACCGATCCTTGAGGGTAAGGCCTCAGCGGTCTGGCGGCTATTTATGTGGGCACTTTAAGCGCTTACAACTGTATTTTTTTTGGATCCGGGACGTTGGAGGCTTGGCGTGCCTTGGGGGCGGGTACGACCTACTTGCAGGTGAGCGGCATTTTAGCGGGCTGCCTTGGCTGCGCGCACGCCAGACGCTCTTTAACCTGCGCGGGGAGCTGCCTGGCTCTGTTCTCAACACCATCTCATGCCACATGATTGTATTTCATTAGATGCCACCCACAGATCCGAGTCCCAGAATGAAGAACTTCTCCAGCAAGTTCGCAGCACTGAGTTCGATCGTTACCCATATTTGCAATCTATCGGGGATCCCAGGCGTCTCAATCGGCATCCTTCATCATGACGAAGTAGTCTATCAGGCTTCATTTGGGTATGCCGACGTCGAAAACAAGGTACACTGCGACAGTGACACCACGTACGTCTTGGGCTCCCTTAGCAAAGCCTTCACAGCAGCTCTATTATCGTCCCTTGTCGATGAGAACGCGTTAGGCTGGGACACCCTTCTAAAGGACGTCTTGACCGACTTTCATCGCTCCGACGTCTATGGGGATATCACAATCGCAGATCTGCTCACTCACCGAACTGGGCTGGCCGCTCTGGACTCATTATGGCTGGCCTCGGACAACATTCCTTTCCTCAAGAGGTCCGAAGCAATCTCGATACTCAACCATGCCCCCGCTGTTAGACCATTCCGGGCCGACTTCCTTTACAACAACTTTGCGTATGAGGTACTCAGCCAGGTAATTGAGAACCGGACTGGCACTACCTTTAGTGAAGCTCTCCATAAGCGACTTCTCAACCCGCTCAGCATGAGTAGGACCTATTACACCTCGGACACTATGGAGAATGAAGCAAGTCCTTACGCTGCCTTGACAAACACGTCCGTTGTTCGAATACCTCCAGCTATAAAGGGCAAAGATGTACTGATGGGACCGGCGGGAGGGATTAGGAGTTCTGTTAACGACCTCCTGACCCTTTACAAGAATTTCATCATAGCTGCCCGCTAGGAAATGACTTTCCTATCTTCACAGAATCCCTCAGGTCGATCGGAAAATCCTATCAAAAACATACTCAAACTTTGGCGAGGTCAGATGCCTTTGCCATCGCGCTCGCTACGAGAACACTCCTACGCTTTCGGTTGGGCACGGGCCCAACTCCCAGCCATACTAGCTCCGGGTGACAATGGGAAGAGCGAACTTAGTCCCGTCGTTGGTACGGGCGCACCGTCTCGTCTGGCTCTTTATCATGGCGGGAGCATTCCTGGATACAACACATACAACGCTCTATTTCCCGAGACTGGTAGCGCAGTCATTGTGTTGACAAATTCGCTTTCGCTCAATGGCGGTGTTCGGTGGATCGGCGAGCTCCTTATTGAGGCACTGTTTGACAACCTTGAGAATGCGGTGGATTATGGTGATTTGGCGCGGAAGTCAGCGAAGAGTACAATAGATGAAGTCGCTGACCTCAACAAGAAGCTCTCTGACGGACAGACGGTGTCCAAGCCGACACGGTCCCTGGATAGCTACGTAGGGCGATATTGCAATGCCGCTGGGAATTTTTTTGTTGATATCAATCATAACGAGAAAGAGGAGACACTGTTTGTTTCCTATATGGGACGCTCCGCCGACACATTTCAACTTGTTACGTACAAGGAAGACAGCTTTTCTTGGAGCTTGACCTACGACGAACTCGTGGAACGTGCGCGATACACCGTGGATCCTATCGACTACCACATCATCAAGTTCGAAGCCGACAAAACTGGCTCAAACATCCAGTGCTTGTGGTGGAGACACGATTCTGAGTTGAAGGAACCAGGGGAAGCCTTCTACAAGCGACAAGAAGAGTCTCAAACCATGGATGAGAACCAGGAGCTCTGATCTTCACGAGAATTGAAGCCCAGTACTGGGTCCTGTTACGGACAACAGCAATAACCCAGATAACCACACCCAGATCCCAACAGCACCCAGGCCCATACGGGTTGGAACGGCAGGTGTACCAGGGCAAGGAGTGTCCCAGAACAACCGTCCTAGGACAAGTGGCGGCCTAGGACGCGGAGACTCCCAGGACAGGCATCCTAGGATGAAGGCGGTCCCAGGACAAGCGACCCAGGACGCAGGGCGTCCCAGCACGCGAGGAACGGAAAGAGGTTCCCAAGGCCAGAACGCAGGGACCAAGGGGACAGGGCCCGGGGACAGGGCCCAGGCAAAACACATGAGCAGAGGGTCACGTGGTGTGATCTCTATGATCTGTGTTGGCAAGCGCCAAGAACAGGGAGCAGAGAGGTCAAAAGGTGATCGACCTGATCTCTGTGATCGGACTTGGCGAAGAAGGATCAGAGAGAGCAGAAGGATCAGGACCAAATTGTATAAAAGCGGAAAGGGTATATAACCTAGAGGGTTTTCTTTATTGCTTTTTCTCCTTTATACTTAGGGGGCAGATAATCGCACACCCCTTTTCGAGTAACCACACACCCCACTTTCATCTGATCTTCTGATTGGCTCGGAGGGCTGCTCCGTAGCCTCCGATTCGCTCGCTTAACTTGCTCCAAATGCGGCCTTGATCACAATTAATTACATCCTCTTCCTCTCCCTCTATAATATAGCAGCGCATACAGCAGCGCCTACAGCAGCACCTACAGCAGCGCCTACAGCAGCGCCTACAGCAGCGCCTACGGCTGCACCTGCAGCTAAAAAGCGCGGCCGGCCGCCTGGTGCAAAGGATAAGGTACCACGGAAAAAGGCACGAGCTCAGAGGCAAGATAGTGCTTAGCCTCAACCTCAGGTGGAACAAGAGGATGACCGTGCGGACATTCTACGACAGATTGCAGCTCTACAGGCACGTCTAGGAGGGTCTCAGCATCCACCAGGTGTTGCTGTAGGCACTGCTGAGTTATTAAGCCGGCCGGAGAGCCGTAGGAACATTCTAGGGCCTGCTGAGTATCAATATAAGGGGGAGGCTGAGGCGTATGTGGATTAGTATAAGGAGTAGGTGCAGGCGGCAATGCTAGGGGGCTAGGCTCGATGCAAAGGAGCTGTAATAAGGTGAGGTTTTAACGGGTTTGGCATATTTATAGGCACGTAGACACTTCTAGAATAGAACTCTATTCTAGACTTACACTTAGACTAGATAATAATACGTGAGGCTATACAAGTCGGAAAGGATGCGCCGTAAAACGGAGAGGCTGTATAGCCGTGCCGATTTGTATAGCCTTACGTATAGCCTTACGTACCAGCTTATATACGGCCTCGCGTATAGCATCACGTGTATAGAGACGTAAAGGTGAATGCCCGGAGGAAGCTCCGCGCTGCTCCGAGCCAATTAGGAGGCGGTGAAACGACAGGAGTAGAAGGGGTGTATAATTACTCGAAAGGGGGTGTACGATTACTCGTTAGGGGGTGTACAATTATCTGTCCCTAATATAAAATTCATTTATTTCCCCTTTAATCACCTTAATATCTTAGCTATATTAATAATTCCAACTCTACCTAGACTATTATATATGCTGCGGTTGTTAATATTACTATAGGCTTATATATAGAACAGCTAGTCTGCTATATTACTAACCTAGGCTATATTCCTATAGTTCTAGAAACTAACTAGCATAAAACCTATAATCTAGAAATTAATTTTGTTAAGAAAAGCTTCTACTTTTATTAATTATAATACTAAGATTTTTACTGCTATTAGAATAGTATACTAGTAAAGATCTTTTATAAAAAAGCTTTTTTCTATACTACTAGACCTACTAAACTTTAGTCTAAGCTTTTATTCGCAATATCTATTAGTTCTATAGAACGCTATATTTAATAAGCTAAACCTAAAAACCTTTTTTAGATTTATAAACTAGAATTTATTCTAGTACTAGATAACTCCTTATTTAATACGCTAGCTATTAGATATATTAGTAGTATACTAGAATAAAATAGCACGCTTAAACTTTACGCTTTTTTAGTTAATAAATATAATAAGTTTATAAAGAAGCGTAAGATATACTTACCTAATAAGCTCTATTACCGGCTAGATAAGCGCTTCTATTCCTAAGTTAATATATAGTTTTACTAGAAAGTAGGCAACTTTTCTTTATACTAAAACTATAACTATACTATTCTATTATAACTAAATATAATACTATCTAAGTATAAGACCTATACTATATTAGAGGAAAAGAACTATATTATATATAATAAGCTATAAAAGTTACTTAGTAAGGGCTTTATTAAAAACAGTAACTCCCCTATATATATACTAGTACTATTAGTTAAAAAACCGGATAGAATATACTGCTTCTATATTAACTACTAAAAGCTTAACGCTATTACTATTAAAAACTAATACCTAATTCTAATTATATAGAAGACGCTTAACCGCCTATATAAGGCTAAGTAGTATACTAAGTTAGATATTATTTCTACTTTTAATTATATATATATTAAACTAGGTAATAAATAGAAAATAGCTTTTATTACGTAATATAGAATATTCTAATCTAAGGTTTTAGGATTTAGTATATACAACGGCCCTAGCACCTTTTAAATATTTATTAATAATATTCTATAGAAGTACCTAAATAACTTCTATTCGGCCTATATAGATAATATACTTATATTTACTAATAGAATAGAGAAAAAGTATATATATATATAAAAGGTATTAGACTAACTTTATAAGGCCGGCCTATACTTAGATATTAATAAGTGCAAATTTCTTATTAAGCGTATTAAATACTTAGGCCTTATTATTACTACTAATAGCGTTAAAATAGACCTAGAAAAGGTTAAGGCAGTTACTAAATAGGCCTTTTCTACTGTCACAGTATCGACCGCGACACCCTACCTACCGAAATTCTGCCGCAGATTGCTACAACTCCAGCAATCTGCACCGGCCTACTACCGTTGGCCGGCCTCCTGCCCTGCCTACCCTGCTCCGCTCCCGTCTCGCTTCCGCTTCCTATCCTGTCCCGCTCCAGCCACCTACCGGCTGCCCCCTTTTCCTATTACCTAATCTGGTAAGGACCTCGCGTACACGCGTGCCACGCGCCGAAACGGCATAGAGGCCGTACGCCACGCGCTCGGCCACGCCCTTATATCCGGTGGCCCGTCTCCCGTCTTCCTGTTCCTTACACAACGTCTTGATTCTCTATATAGCATTGTATATAGCACCTAATCAACGCTCCTCTTTAAGCCCTCGACCTCTTGCGTGTAGCGCTATTATAATATTACGTTATGTCTACTCTTACTACTATAGACACCCCTGCCGACCCGACTATAATGCTTTTAGAGCTCGTTAGCTCTATAAAGGAACAGCAGGCTGCTATAATAGAAGTCCTGTCCGCCTAGAAATAGGAAATTGCTGCTCTGCAGGAGGAAGTAGCCGCAATTCGGTCTAAATCTACCCCTACTCCACCACTGGCGCCCGACTAACAATTCGCAGGGCCTTCTGTTTATAAATCGAATAATAGCTTAATACCTGCTAATAATATAAACTGTATATAGACCCTAACTATTAAAGTTACTCCGCTAACTTTAACAGACTCCTTCCTAACAGCCGCCGCCCCGCCGACCCTAAAGACTAAATATCTAATTAACCCTCTAATATTTAAGAGGAGTTAAAAGGAACTCCTAATCTTTATCCGACAACTATAGTATAAACTAGAAGGAAATGCTAATTAATACCTAACTAAACGTGCTCGCCTGCTATATACTTACTTTTAATTGGAATCTAACCTGTTAACGCTTATCGACCCCTTAATAGACTAAAATATCTGCACTGTTAATTAACTTATCCAATTCCTGCAGGCTATATACAGCGATCCGAACTAGAAACTTATATCCTTAAATTAACTCTATGCACTAAAGTAAGAAAGGTGTGCCTTTATATTATACTTTGCTAAATTCTAATAACTTACCGCTAATATAGATCTAAATAAAGCTGGCCTAATAACTTAGCTCTAATACTCCCTCTCTAATAAACTCTGCTGTGCAATAGTTAGCGCTACTACCCTAGATAATCTAAATAACTATACTAACTTAATCGCGAAGTATAATAATAATCTATAATTCCTGCCCAGCTAACCCTTTTAATATTCCCCTCTATTATAAAAGGACCTAAATGCAATAGAAATTAATATATCTAAATATGCTCCAGCCGGCTTAGCCGAATAAGATAAATATTGTTAAAAGGGCCTCTGCTTTAAATGCGGAAAGTATAGCTATATCTCCTGCGATTACTTTATCTCCTTACCTTAAGTCTAATTATCTAGTGTAGATAAGCCTCTAAGCCCCTAACCGCGTATATACGCGCAATTAACTAATTCCACCTAATTTTTATCTGCCCGCCGTTCCTCCGTGTCTACCGCTTTATTCTTTAGCTCTAATTAATCTAAAGGTAGCGGCTTATCCTGTATAAAAAAGTTATTAAAAGCCCCGTTCCGGGGCTAAGTTGCCCCCCGGGACTATTCTAACCCCGGATTTCTATAAACCTGTTTAAAGAACCTAAACCTAACTCCTGGAAATAATAGATTTTTATCCCTGTTTCTGTATAATAAGGCCCTACCTGTATAGATGCTGTAGCTCTAATCGATAGTAGAGCTATAGGTATAGGTTATATTTATAGGAATCTAGCGCGCGCATAGAACCTCCGCCTCGACCTGCTCCTTTATATCTTACGCCTAACTAGATTTAATAGAAAAACGCTTAAAAGAGGATAGATTACGCACTCTACGCAAGTAACCCTCTGCTACCTAAACTATATAGAATAGATCTATCTCTATATACTAGAACTCGGCAAATATAAGCTGCTACTAGAATAGCCCTAGCTATATAAGCACTATATTGGATTTAACTATAATAACTAATAACTGTTGTTTTAATTGTCCTAATACCAGGTGCGATGCCTGCGCAACTCCTAAACCTCTGCAATAAGAACTTATATAGAACAGCTTCCTAAAGCGCCCCTTATTAAGCAGTGCCTAACACCTCTAACCTAACGCTTTTACTTGCAGCAATCGAGCCTATCTATATAACACCGACACGATTACTAGCTTCCTAAAATAGTACGCTAGATAAATATGCCCGACCCTAAACCTAAGCTAGAAACTAAACCTAAAACTAAATCTAATTCTAAATTTAAACCTAATACCCGGACGGATATCTGTATACTAAACGCGGCGTCTATAACCCGATTAGCCCGACAACCCGATTATAAAATCTTTGCTATTACTATTGCTAATATTAATAAGGCCTTAGCTCTAAAAACCTAAACTAACCCAGCTACAAAAGTTCTAGCATAATATTACTATTTGCTGAAGACCTTCTCCCAACAGTAAGGATGGAGGTGAAACAATGCATTAAACGAGGTAAGTAATGTATTGGATAAGCATCTATCTAGGCTACGTACGCCGTATATATACTCCTGTGTGTGGAGGCTTACGTAGCCGTACTGTAGAACTGTAAGGGCTAAATATAGGAACCGTGTTCTATATTAAGGTAGCCGACGCTAGCCGTACCACACTCCGTAGGCTAGCTGGCTAGGAACACGTACTCCGTTAAACAGGAAGCTAATAAGTTACCTAAACACTAAATATATAATTATAAGATTATACTTAAAGACAGCAAACTATATAGATTTAGCCTATTATACGGAATATTATAAAATGAATTAAAGGTGCTAAGGAAGTACCTTAACAACAACCTCGCGAAAGGATTTATCCGTGCCAGTTTATTACCTGTCGCCTCTCCGGTTATCTTTATTAAGAAGCCCGGAGGAGGCCTACAATTCTGTATCGACTACCGCGCGCTAAATACTATAACTGTTAAGAACTAATACCTAATCCCCTTAATTTAGGAAACCCTAGCATAATTAAGCAAGGCGAAATACTATATAAAGCTCGATATTATCTCCGCATTTAATCGCTTATAAATCGCGAAAGGAGACGAATAGCTAACTGCTTTCCGGACGCAATACAGCCTGTTTAAATACCTGGTAATGCTATTTAGATTAGCTAATGCTTTTAGCACGTTCTAACACTACGTAAACAACGTGCTCCGCCTGTACCTAGATGTATTCTATACCGCATATATTAACAATATTTTAATATACAGCAAAAACTTTAAAAACCACTAGTATTATATAAAGCTAGTCCTAAAAGCAATAGAAGCCGCCGGCCTACAACTAAACGTTAATAAGTGCGAATTCTATTAGGATAAAGTTACCTACCTAGGGTATATAATATTAACCGGCGGAATTAGTATAGTCCCGAA